CAGCAGAGGCAGCGGCAGCAGCTGTGGCTGCAGCAGCAGCACAGGCAGCAGCAGCAGCAGATGCAGCAGCAGAGTCAGAGGCTGCAGCAGCAGCAGAGGTAGCAGCAGTGGCAGAGGTAACAGCAGCAGCAGAGGCGGCAGCAGTGGCAGAGGCCGCAGCAGCAGCAGAGGCGGCAGCCGTGGCAGAAGCAGCAGCAGCAGCAGAGGCAGCAGCAGCGGCAGAGGCAGCAGTCGCAGCAGAGGCAGCACTAGCAGCAGAAGCAGATGCTGCAGTAGCAGCAAAGGCGGAAGCAGCAGCAGAGTCAGCAGGAGCTGCAGAGGCCGCAGCAGCAGCAGCAGCAGCAGCAGAGGCTGCAGCAATAGCAGAGACTGCAGAAGCAGAGTCAGCAGGAGCTGCGGAGGCAGCAGCAGCGGCAGAAGCTGCAGCAGCTGAAGCAGAGGCAGCACTAGCAGCAGAAGCAGATGCTGCAGCAGCAGCAATGGCGGCAGCAGCAGCAGAGTCAGCAGGAGCTTATGAGGCAGCAGCAGCGGCAGAAGCTGCAGCAGCTCAAGCAGAGGCAGCAGCAGCTGCAGTGGCTTCTGCAGCAGCAGAGGCAGCAGCAGAAGCTACAGCAGCAGCTGAGGTAGCAGCAGCAGCAGAGGCGGCCGCAGCAGCAGCAGCAGCGGCGGCAGAGGCAACAGCAGCAGCAGAGGCTGCAGCAGCGGCAGAGGCAGCAGCAGCAGCAGAGGCAGCAGCAGCAGCAGCAGCAGAGGGAGCAGCAATATCAGAGGCAGCAGCAGCAACATCAGAGGGAGCAGCAGCAACATCAGAGGCAGCAACATCAGTGGCAGCAGCAGCAACATCAGAGGCAGCAGCAGCAACATCAGAGGCAGCAGCAGCAGTAACTGCTGACAATACCACTGCTGCGGAGGATGTCATTGCGACTGCTGGTGCTGCCACGAATGGCACTTATGCTTCTTCTTCTGCAGCAGCAGCAGCAGCAGCAGCCACGTCAGAGCCTGCTCCTGAACCCCCAACACCAGCAGCAGTTGGCCTCACGCCTGAGCGTGTTCGAGCGAAATCAGGCCCGTTAGACAAGCTGGGTATTCCCAAGAGCTGGAGCGGAACCGGGCTGAGCACTCGAAGCACAAGTAGCATGTCCAAGTCTGGCCCTCTCAGCCTAACAGGCGAGCCCTTAAGTGGAGCAGTGTCGCCAGGTGGGTTGTCTGACGCCTCACCACGGAGCGAAGCATCCCCACGCGGTGGTGGTTCCAGCTATTTCAGAAGTAAAGGATCACGGACAGGGTCAGTGTCAGTGTCAGGGTCGGCGTCGGGGTCCGTGTCAGGGTCAGTTTCAGGGTCAGTGTCAGGGTCGGTGTCAGGGACTGGGAAAGGGTCGGAGAAGTCAGGCAAGACTGTGTCATCTACCATGTCCTCTATGCTCCGGTCGATGTCTCTCACCCCCTCGCGCAAGCGAGCAGGTGCAGGACCAATGAGTGCAGGTACAGGACCAATGAGTGCAGGCGGATTGTTTGGGTTCAGCAGAGGGCAGCGGCAGGGTAAGCGGCAGGAGCAGGAGCAGGAGCAGGAGCAGGGGCAGGAGCAGGAGCAGGAGCTGGAGCATTGGCAGGAGCCTGAGAGCCCAAGCAGTCTGCCTAGCCCGAGATCGGCACCTACGACGCCGGCCGGACACAGGAAGAGACTCAGCTTCTTCTTTGACATTGGGCGGCCTGTTTTGTCCCCAGTGATCGAGCCAGACCGCCCGGAGGAGAGCTTGGCTAGCTCGGGGTTGGAACTTGGGGAAGGGGAAGGGGGAGGGGGAGGGGGGAGGGGAGGGGCAAGGGGAGGCGGGGAGGGAGGGGAAGGGGAAGGGGCAAGGGGAGGCGGGGAGGGAGGGGAAGGGGAAGGGGCAAGGGGAGGCGGGGAGGGAGGGGAAGGGGAAGGGGCAAGGGGAGGCGGGGAGGGAGAGGGAGGGGAAGGGGCTAGCAATTCTGCTGGTGCTGATGGTGTTGGTGATGGTGCTGGTGCTGGTGCTGGTGCTGGTGCTGGTGCTGGTGCCGGTTCTGGTTCTGGTGCTGCTGCTGGTGCTGCTGGCGCTGGTGCTAGTGCTGGTGCTGATGCTGGTGCTGGTGCGAGTGCTGGTGCTGGCGCTGGTGCTGATGGTGCTGGTTTTGGTGCTGGTGCCAGTGCCGGTTCTGGTTCTGGTGCTGCTGCTGGTGCTGCTGGCGCTAATGCTGGTGCTGGTGCTGGTGCTGGTTCTGGTGCTGGTGCTGATGCTGGTGCCGGTGCTGGTGCTACTGCCGGTGCTGGTGCTACTGCTGGTGCGGGTGCTGGTGCGGGTGCTGGTGCGGGTGCTGGTGCGGGTGCTGGTGCGGGTGCTGGTGCTGCTGGTGGTGGTGAATCTGAGTCTGGTGATGGTTCGGTTGCTGCTGGTGCTGAGTCAGCAGCAGAAGCAGCAGCAAAGGCTGCAGCAAAAGCAGAGGTTGCAGCAGCAGCAGAGGCTGAAGCCGCAAAAGCAGAAGCTGCAGCAGCAGCAGAGGCAGCAGCAGCGTCAGAGGCAACTGCAGCAGAATCTACAGAAGCAGCAGCAGGAGCAGCAGTGGAAGAGGCTGTATCAAGAGCAGAGGCTGCTGCAGCAGCAATAGAGGCTAAAGTGGCAGGAGCAGAAGCTGCAGCAGCAGCAGACACAGCAGCAGCAGCAGAGGCAGTGGCAGCAGCGGCAGAGTCAGCAGCAGCTGGAGAAGAAGATGCAGCAGCAGTAGCTGAGGCAGCAGAGGCAGCTGCAGCAGCAGAGGCAGAAGCAGCAGCAGAGGCGGCAGCAGCAGCGGAGGCTGCAGCTGCAGCATACACAGCAGCAGCAGCAGACTTAGCAGCAGCATCAGCGGCAGCAGTAGCATCAGCACACGCAACAGCAGCAGAGGCAGCAGAGGCAGCAGCAGCGGCAGAGGCAGCAGCATCAGCGGAGGCTGCAGCAGTAGCATCAGCACACGCAACAGCAGCAGAGGCAGCAGAGGCAGCAGCAACGGCAGAGGCAGCAGCATCAGCGGAGGCTGCAGCAGCAGCAAAAGCAGAAGCAGAAGCAGCAACAGCAGCAGCAGAGGCAGCAGCAGCAAAAGTACAAGCAGAGGCAGCAGCAGTAGCAAAAGCAGAAGCAGAGGCAGCAGCAGCAGCACAGTTAGAAGCAGAGGCAGCAGCAGCAGCAAGAGCAGAAGCAGCAAAAGCAGAAGCAGAGGCAGCAGCAGCAGCAAAAGAAGAAGCAGAGTCAACAGCAGTAGCAAAAGCAGAAGCAGAGGCGGCAGCAGCAGCAAAGGCAGCAGCACTGTTGGCATTGACTGTGCCACGTACGCACTCTCTCACTCGCCCTCACACACGGCTCCATCCCATCGTTAGAACACCTAGTGGAAGGAAGCAGGGGGGAGGAGGGAGAGGAGGGAGAAGAGGAGGGAGAGGAGGAGGGGGGGGGGGGGGGAGGAGGGCTGTTTGGGGGAGCCGGGCGGGCTGTGATAGCTGTTGCAGGGGGGCTGTTTCTGCTGGCGGTTGGCGCGACGATTGGGAATTCACGCAGGCAGAACAGACAGAGAAGCCCCATGTATTATGAGGTGGGTTTTGTACATGCTGAGGTGCACTCTTCGCTCGGGCGTGTGCTGCTGATATGCTCGAGCGTGTGCTGTCTTCCGCTTTCCCTGCCTCTTTCCCTGCCCTCTCCTGCCCCCTCCACGCTCAATCCACTTCACCTTATTTTCCACCACTCCCCCTACCTCTCCACCACTCCCCCTACCTCTCCACCCCCCTACCCCAGTTGAGAACAGGCGACACGGTATGCTCCATAGCCGACCGCCACTGCCTGGATCCCAGTGCTGCCACTGGCTTGACGTGTGTGCCCCATATTTCCAGACATCCCTTCTAGTGCCCCCCCTCTCTCATCCTAGCTCCCACATCCCTACCCCTGGTGCAGACAGGCGACACGGTCTGTTTGACCGCCGATCGCCACTGCCAATATACCAGCTCTGCCACTGGCTTGACGTTTGTGCCCTCCCAGCCCCAGTGCGAGCAGGCGACACCTGCTCCCATATGTCCAGACATCCCTCCTTGTGCCCTCTCCCTCTCTCCCATCTTTGTTCCCACAACTCTACCCCAGGTGCGAGCAGGCAGCACGGTGTGCTCCCATATTTCCAGACATCAATCCTTGTGCCCTCTCCCTCTCTCCCATCTTTGTTCCCACAACTCTACCCCAGGTGCGAGCAGGCGGCACGGTGTGCTCCCATATTTCCAGACATCCCCCCTTGTGCCCCCGCTCTCTCTCTCCCATCCTTGTACCCACAACTGTAATTCAGCTGCGAGCAGGCAACACGGTCTGTTCGATTGCCGATCGCCACTGCCTCCATACCGAATTAATCTCTCATTAACCGTCCTTTCTTTCGCTATTACCCTCTGCCCGTCCCTCTTCCTCTCCTTGCCCTTTCCAGGCGAGAGCAGGCGGCACGGTGTGCTCCATTGCCGATCGCCATTGTCTGGATCCCGGCGCTCTGACCGATCGCCACCGTGTGCTCCATAGCATCTCCTGCTCTTGCTTGCCCACTCCTCTCTCATCCCCTTGTGTTTTCTCCTCCTCTCTGCCGTACCCCCAGGTGCAATCCGGCGACACGGTGTGCTCCATAGCCAATCGCCACTGCGTGCATCCCGACGCTCTGATCGATGCAAACGAGGAAGGCACGCTACAAGACCCTGATGTGATATGGCCTGGCGATTTGATCCTAATTCCGGCGTGAAAAACCTGTTTGGCTTAGGGGACTATTCCCCACTGCCTGCATCCCGACACAAATGAGGGAGGGTTGTCATCAGGCCCGTAAGTTGGCTTTCCAGCTGACCTGATTCCCGTTCCAGAGTGGAAAACACGTGGCCTCCTTCCGGTGCCTACTTTCCAGGCGCCGAAAGAATAGGCTGCTTTTGGTGCTCATGCTGAGTCGGTACAGTCCTCGCAGCACCAAAACACTGCTTGATGAGTGTTTATTATAAAGATTAGATATGGGTGTACTTATGTTTCATAGATTAACTGGAAATGATGTTTAGCCTTACTCCTTGAAGGATCTGCTCCTCTTGTAATGAGTACAAAGCATCCATGAGTCCTACTCTCAGGGAACCAGGCCCCTGGACGCCAGCTGCCACTGATGCCACCTCAGCTGCCAACCTGCACGAAAAAGCGACGAAGAAAATTAGAAGGTGATGAGAATAAAAGGTCAGAGGGGGATTTGAGGTGTGCATATGAAAAGCAATGCAGAAAGGATGGAGCAGGAAGGACAGGGGGGTACAAAGAGAGGGATGAAACGTACCCGTATATGGCGAGAGCGCAGGCAGTGGCGAGAAGAGGCGACGATACAGAAACACCCGAGGAAGACAATAACGAGGACGAGGATTCAGAAGCAGCATCGGTAGCAGCAGCATCCGCAGCAGCAGCAGCAACGAAGGCTGCAATGAGTGCAGTGACGCTGCAGCCGGTGGCAGTGATAGCTTGCAGCAGAGGCATCCCATTGCCACATGCGAGCACGGTCGAGCCATCTGTGATGAAGTCTGTTGCTCCCGACACTGCTACCACGGCCCCTGATGCTGCTGCTAGCCGCTGCGCTGCCGCCACTGCTGCTGTCGACGCCACTGTGCTGTCAACTCCCTGGTGGGGGGAGGGGAGGGAGGAGTGAGGACAAAGGGAAGGAGAGGTAGAGGGACAAGGAAACAAGGGAAGGAGGGGTGGCGCTGCAGCCGGTGGCAGTGATAGCTTGCAGCAGAGGCACCTCGTTGAGGAGTCTATCTTTGAGGCGCCTCAGAAGGGGAGAGAAGGGAAGGAGGGGTGGCGCTGCAGCCGGTGGCAGTGATAGCTTGCAGCAGAGGCACCTCGTTGAGGAGTCTATCTTTGAGGCGCCTCAGAAGGGGAGAGAAGGGAAGGAGGGGTGGCGCTGCAGCCGGTGGCAGTGATAGCTTGCAGCAGAGGCACCCCATTGCCACATGCGAGCACAGTAGAGCCGTCTGTGATAAATTCTGTTGCCCCTGACACTGCTACTATGGCCCCTGATGCTCTTGCTAGTAACCCTGTGCTGTCAACGACCTTGTGGGGGGATGAGGGAGGGGAGGGGTGGGGGGGTCACAAAGACTGGCACTGTTACGACGGGAAGGGAAGAGGGAAGGAGAAGAGGTAAGGTAGGAGGAGAGAGGAGCGGGTAGTGAAGGACTGTGTGGATGCTGCTGTCGATGCTGCTGCGCTGTCAACCCCCTGGTGGACGCGGAGGGAAGACAGTGGAGGAGAGACGAGGCGAGGCCAAGGTGTTTTTATTTCCTAGTCAACTGGTAAAGACAACCCGTTACACTCAACTACAGTGGGGTCATTTTTTAGAAATCTCTAAAATCACTCAACTAGCACCCGAAACGACCCAGCAGGACAAACAGAAAGATATTGGAGCTATCGGCACACTCAGATGTTAGGCATACCCGCGTGGTAGCGCTGACAGCACCTGCCAGAGCCAGCACTTCCGATGCATTGCCTCTCACCACCGTAGGGCGCAGGGATAGGAGCTCTGTAGACGTCTGAAGGGACGGGAAGGGGGGGGAAGGAAGGGGTGCAAGGAGGGCGCTGACAGCACCTGCCAGAGCCAGCACTTCCAATGCGTTTCCTCTCACCACCGTTGGCCGCAAGGCTAGGAGCTCCGCTGAGGTCTGGCAAGTTGAAAGAAGGGGAAAGGCAGGGGACGGAAAGGGGTGCAAGGAAGGGGTGCCATGTGTTTGAAAGGACAGCGCCTATCAGAGCACATGGGTGCCATGTGTTTGAAAGGACAGCGCCTATCAGAGCACCACATGGGTGCCGTGTGTTTGAAAGGACAGCGCCTATCAGAGCACATGGGTGCCGTGTGTTTGAAAGACGCATCGCCTCTCACCACTGCTCGAGGTGACATGGGTGGGTGGCATGGGCGGGTGACATGGGTGGGTGGCATGGGCGGGTGGCATGGGCGGGTGACATGGGTGGGTGGCATGGGCGGGTGGCATGGGCGGGTGACATTGGTGGGTGGCATGGGCGGGTGGCATGGAGCCCACCTTAGTTCGGTACGACGTGGCGCCACAACCCACAGGGTCTAGCACCCACGGCCGATTCCGGGCAGAAACAACTTTGGCTGCCCGTTTCATGGAGTCCACCCAATCAGGGCTCAGTGTGCCGATGTTGACGTACAGAGCGGATGCCAGGCTGGCAAACTCCTCCACCTGTGTAGGGGGGTTGGGTTGAAGGGAGATATAAGCACCAGAGTGAGATTAAGAGTCTCACTGTTCACGAGGAGTGCCGATGCCAGGCTGGCGATTCCTGCACCTGTGGGCGGGCGTGGAGGGATACAATTTTCTCTGCAACTTGACATAGCGCGCCAATGATCTTGTTTACTTGAAACCTCCTGATTTGCTCAGTGGCTGCCTCTGTCGCTCCAGCAGAGGATCTCAAATGAAACTGCTACTGCGGTGTGCTGACCTCCTCTAGGGAATGGACCATGGCGGGAGCGGCGCCAGCGGCTAGGAGGGTGTTGGCGGCGGCATCCATAGAGACGAAGTTAGTGATGCAGTGGACCAGGGGCCGAGTTTCCCGCACTGATTTTAGCGCCTCCCATGCTGCTGCCGCCAATGCGGGGTCGCCGCCGCCCGCTGCTGGCTGCTCCGCGTTCTCCACCGCGCGAACCGCGGTTGCTCGCGCTGGCACTGCGCCGATGCGGTGGCGGTAGCCCCCGCGGAAGGGCGCGCGGGCTTGGGCGCTCGGGGAAAGGGCGGGCAGAGCACTTGGGGAGACAATGTGGGGGAAGGTGGTGCGGAAGGCGGAGATTTGGGCGGATTGCGCGGCAGGAAGCGCAAGGGGAGCGGAGAGGGGATGGGCGGCGGCGATCAGCGAGGAAGGCTGTATACAGGCCGCCATAGGTCGATCCAAAGGCACAGGAAGCGAGCACATGGCGCTGAACTGAAGGCTTCGATGCTAAGGAAGCAGGCGAGCACGCGAACAAAACAAGGAAAGAGCAATAGCCAGGGCGCGAGGGAGCAGAATCTTTTCTAGTGAAAAAGTTGAATCTGAGTGGCGCGGAACACATTTGTGGGATTTGTTGGAGCGGCGCTGAATCTGAGAAGTAACGGGAGGCAGGAACGGAGGGTAGCGAAGTGAGAGTGGATGTCACGAAATCTCGTCACCTTTCGCGAAGGTCCAAACTTGATTTGATCGACGGCTGGGTTTCGCCATTTTTTTCATTTGAGCGGTTTCCGATTGCGTGAACGAAGCATTTTGGGCTATGGACGAAGAATGTTTCTTGTGAAGTAACCGCAGCCACAACTTTCGCGTGTAGGGTCGTTTCGGCCTGTTACACTCGTTGCAGCACCTTCAGAATACCACAACAGCTCTCGATACAAGAAACCATCGCCTGTCGCATTTGGCCAGCCAGAATTGAACCACATATCAGGCTTCGTTAGTATCACGCTGATCAGCCTCCCCTCCCAAATTCCTAAATCCTGACAGCCTGTTAGAACTTTCTACTTTCCTCCTACCTCTTATTTTCTATCTCCCTGATCGGCCTAGGTATCCTTAGCACTTCCGCCGTTTCTGGCGGCATTGTTGAGCGGATAGTGCGGTTAATAATTCTCTTCATAATCCGCTCCGCTAAGGATCGTATGTCCCGATCACCCGGCAGCAGTTGAGGCCAATGCGCTGCTTATCCAACCAGCTTTTGCCAGGTCAGCTCTGTTCCTTTGCTGTTATGTACTTGACAAAAAGAACTCGGATATAGATAATATGACCATTTGTGTTGCATTCTCCTTTTCATTATCACTGTAGCGTTATTGACTATTTTCCCCTCGTCCATCACCTTGGGATTACCTCACTCCTATCCTATCACCCCTCCCCCGAGCTTCTGCATCCTTGTATAACCCACCACAACGAGCTGAAACAAAACTTTTCGACCATTTCTCTCCCTTCCCCTCCCAATGCGCCTGAATTCCTACTGTCACCCTGGTTATAATCACATCTCGCAGTGGTGACTCCTTGCCTTCGTTGCTTCGGCTCCTACGCGCGAATCTCGTCCGTTCCGCAAGTTGCCGCCGCTCCCGCGGCTCTCCGCTCTTCCGCTGCTTCTGCGGTTCTCCGCACCTCCGCCTCCGCCTCTGCCTTCACGCAGCGCAGCGGGCTCTCTTGGCTTTCCGCAAATCCGCTCTCTGCGCGAGTTGCGGCAGCGGTAACAGCGGCTGCGAAACCCTCGCGAAACTCCGTGAGCGTCGCAGCGATGGCCAGCGAATCGGCGGCAGCCGCGGCTGAAGCGGTGAAATCGATCGAGATTGGCGGAGAGGAGAAGGTGAGTAGGGGGAAAAGAGGGGGGGGGGGAAGGGGAGGAAAAGTACTAGAAAAGGGTGCTTGTGATGGAGAAGGGAAGGTGGGTTGGGGAAAGTACTAGAAACTGCTCAATCCATCGTTGTTTTATTTAGAAAAGGGGCTATGGTGCGGGAGAATGGAAAGGGATCCGATTATACCTATCAGCCAAAGAATGATTACAGGTGGGAGATTCTAGCTGTAGAGGAACGAGATTTTCAGGTTTTGAGAAGGATGCGTGGCACTGCCCTACATACCCTTGCCTCCAAGGGCGAGAACGAGTGCCAGGAAGCTGAGACAAGGTTTCAGTGGGTGGGTTGGCCGTAGGATGGAGGGAATGTGCCATTGTGAGATGGAGATCTCACAACAACCATCCCTTCATTTAACCCGATTGCAAAAATACATTCCGCCTTTTCCCTTCCCCCATCTACCCCCTCCGGACCCTCCCCCTCTCCCTTCCCCCCTCCCTTTCCCCTCCCCCCCTCTCCTTTTGAGTCGACTCAAAAGTCATCTCCCCCCTTCCTTTCCCCTCCCCCCCCTCCCTTTTCCCTCCCCCCCTTCCTTTCCCCTCCCCCCCTCCCTTTTCCCTCCCTCCCTCCCTTTCCCCCCTCCCCCCTCTCCTTCCCATGCCCTTTTTTTTCTGCCCGTCAGGGTCAGGAGGGCAGCGTGCGTGACCTGGTTGCTCAGCTCGTGTCGCAATCCCTCGCAAAAACGTTTCCCGACCTGCCAGATTTGGAGCCGCAGGTTACCACCTGTAACAACCCCAAATTCGGGGATTACCAATGGTGTGTGTGTCTGCTGCTTCATGCGCCACAAATTTTTTTTTTGCAATCTGCAAGAAGCAATTGATTCGTTCTATGTTCGTCAGTCAGGTGCTTAAGTTCAACTAACCGTTATCTTCTAAAGTTCGTCTGCTGCCAGACAGGCAGTCATACAGGTTGGCATTGTATGGCTGTCTTCCTGCCACACAGTGCCAGAAAGAGAGTCCTGCCTGTTCGGGTGACAACGTCTTTCTGTCTACCCGTCTGCCCGTCTGCCCGTCTGCCTTTCTCTCGGTGTGCATTCTCCCTGTTTGCTCATGCGCGCAGCAACAACGCCATGGGCATCTGGTCGCGCATCAAGGGAACCACCACGGAGTTCAAGAACCCCAACGCCATCGGCCAGGTGAGAGTGGGTCCGTCTGCCTGCGCAGGTCAGTGTGCCAGTGAATGTGCATGGGTGTGCATGGGTGTGCCAGTGCGTGTGCAGGGGTGTGCATGGGTGTGCCAGTGCATGTGCAGGGGTGTGCATGGGTGTGCCAGTGCATGTGCAGGGGTGTGCATGGGTGTGCCAGTGCATGTGCAGGGGTGTGCATGGGTATGCCAGTGCATGTGCAGGGGTGTGCATGGGTGCTTTTGCATCAAGGGAACCACCAGGGAGTTCAAGAACCCCAACGCCTTTGGGCAGGTGCGACATGTGTCTCGCTTCTATTGGTCAGCTTGGCACATGGCGCATCGCCATTGGCCAGGTGAGGCTAGAGGTCCCAACCACGTATTGGTCAGCTGGCTGGGTATCGGGCTTGACGCCATAGCCAGTGGTCAATCTGTCTGTGTCACGGTACAGCGACCCATGACCCCTGCTATACACAGCTTTGAGGCGCCTCAAAACGGCACAGCGACCCATGAGTCCCATGACCCCTGCTATACACAGCTTTGAGGCGCCTCAAAACGGCACAGCGACCCATGAGTCCCATGACCCCTGCTATACACAGCTTTGAGGCGCCTCAAAACGGCACAGCGACCCATGAGTCCCATGACCCCTGCTATACACAGCTTTGAGGCGCCTCAAAACGGCACAGCGACCCATGAGTCCCATGACCCCTGCTATACACAGCTTTGAGGCGCCTCAAAACGGCACAGCGACCCATGAGTCCCATGACCCCTGCTATACACAGCTGATCCCAGCATGGAATGATCACAGCATGGAATGATCACAGCATGGAATGATCACAGCATGGAATGATCACAGCATGGAATGATCACAGCATGGAATGATCACAGCATGGAATGATCACAGCATGGAATGATCACAGCATGGAATGATCACAGCATGGAATGATCGCAGCATCTGTTTGTTCTATACAATTCTCCACCTCCCCCCCTCCCCCCCCTTCTTACCCAGGCAATCGCCAAGAACCTTTCTCCCTCGCCGATGGTGGAGAAGACGAGCATCGCCGGCCCGGGCTTTGTGAACATCGTGCTCACGCAGGCGTGGCTGGAGCAGCACGTGTCTGGCGTGCTGACCGGCTCCGGCATTGCGGCATGGGCGCCCAGGCTGTGTGCGGGTCTCAAGGGCGGTGGTGGACTTCTCTTCCCTCTTCTCTCAAGGGCCAAAGCCCATCCATACCCACAGTCCAACCCATTTCTCTGCTTGCTCTCCTCTGCACGTCCTGTTTCCCAACCCAGGCTATCGCCAAGAACCTTCCTCCCTCCCCAATGGTGGAGAAGACGAGCATCGCTGGCCCGGGCTTTGTGAACATCGTGCTCACGCAGGCGTGGCTGGAGCAGCACGTGTCTGGCGTGCTGACCGGCTCCGGCATTGCGGCATGGGCGCCCAGGCTGTGTGCGGGTCTCAAGGGCGGTGGTGGACTTCTCTTCCCTCTTCTCTCAAGAGCCAAAGCCCATCCATACCCACAGTCCAACCCATTTCTCTGCTTGCTCTCCTCTGCACGTCCTGTTTCCCAACCCAGGCTATCGCCAAGAACCTTCCTCCCTCCCCAATGGTGGAGAAGACGAGCATCGCTGGCCCGGGCTTTGTGAACATCGTGCTCACGCAGGCGTGGCTGGAGCAGCACGTGTCTGGCGTGCTGACCGGCTCCGGCATTGCGGCGTGGGCGCCCAGGCTGCCGGTGACCCGGGCGGTGGTGGACTTCTCGTCGCCCAATATCGCCAAGGAGATGCACGTGGGGCACCTGCGGTCGACCATCATTGGAGACACGCTGGCCAGGATGCTGGAGTACTGCCACGTGGAGGTTCTCAGGCGCAACCACGTGGGCGACTGGGGAACCCAGGTACGGAAATCAAGGGTTTCGGGTTCAGGGTTTAGCATTAAGGGGCTAGGGTTCTGAGGTGTCTGGTTCTGGGGTTGCGGCGTGGGCGCCCAGGCTGCCTGTGACCCGGGCGGTGGTGGACTTTTCGTCGCCCAATATCGCCAAGGAGATGCACGTGGGGCACCTGCGGTCGACCATCATTGGGGACACCCTGGCCAGGATGCTGGAGTACTGCCACGTGGAGGTGCTGAGGAGGAACCGCGTGGGCGATTGGGGCACTCAGGTGGGCTGGGGTTTATGGCCCAGGGTTCAGGGTGTGGCCCAGGGTTCAGGTTCTGGACTGTGGGACTGGCGGGAGTGGGAGGGGTGTTGTAGACTCTAGAGACTCTAGACTCTAGAGGACATAGTTGGCATTACACACCCCCTCCCATGTGTGAGGAGTCTCTTTTTAAGGCGCCTAAAATATAGACTGTTCAGGTTTTGGAAGGTGGGACTGACTGAAATGGGGTGCTCTAGAGGTCGCAGTTGCCTATACACACCCCCTTTCCTCCCCCCCAAAACAACAGCAGTTTGGCACGCTATTCGAGTACTAGTTTGTCAAGTTCCCCCTGACTGACTGGGGCTGGGAGACGCCTTTCCTCTTTCTCCGTCCCCAGACCCAGCCATTGACATCCCCCCTTCATTTTGCAGGGTGTTTTTGAGAATTCTCAATAACACGTGATAGGAGTCTAGTTTTGAGGCGCCTCGAAACTAGACTCCTATCACGCAAAATCAAGGACTCCGTCCCCAGACCCAGCCATTGATATCCCCCCTTCCCCCCCACCCCCCCCTCCCTCTCCCACAAAAACGACAGTTTGGCATGCTGATCAAGTACCTCTTCGACAAATTCCCCGACCAGGAAACTATAGGGGATCAGGCCATAGGCGATCTGCAGGTGTTCTACAAGGCACCAACTGGTGTGCTCAGTGCTCAGACCCCATACACCCCCCCCCTGCCCCCTCTCCCCCCTCCCCCCTCCCCCATTAACCAACACCAGTTCGGCATGCTGATTGAGTACCTCTTCGACAAGTTCCCGGACTGGGAGACGGTGGGCGATCAGGCCATAGGCGACCTGCAGGTGTTCTACAAGGCGGCCAAGAAGCGCTTTGACGAGGATGCAGAGTTCAAGGACACGGCGCAGAAGGCGGTGGTGAAGCTGCAGGGGGGGGAGGAGGAGTACCGCAAGGCGTGGGCCAAGATCTGTGACGTCAGCAGGAAGGAGTTTGACCTGGTGTACCAGCGCCTGGGGATCAAGCTGGAGGAGAAGGTGAGAGCGGCGTTTCCTGCAGTTTGTGAGGCTAGGAAAAGGTTGTTGAGAGTGTCTGTGGGCTGTTAATCTTGAGGGTACGCATAGGGTTGCAGCTGAGGCACCCTGGGAAGGACTTTGACATTCAAAGGCAACGGCTTATGTCCGTCTCCCCATTTTCCTCAACCCTCACGCAATCAGGGGCGAGAGTTTCTACAGCTCGCGCATTCCTGCCGCACTGGAGAAGCTCAAGGCGGCAGGGCTGGTGGTGGAGAGCGAGAGGGGAAGGGGAGGGGGAAATTTTGCCTTATGTCCTATCATGTTCATTCTCCCTCCCTGGCCAATCCCCCCCCCTCGCTCATCAGGGCGAGAGTTTCTACAACTCACGCATTCCCGCAGCGCTGGAGAAGCTCAAGGAGGCAGGGCTGGTGGTGGAGAGCGAGGGTGCGCAGTGCATCTTCGTGGAAGGGCACAAGGTGCCTCTGATCGTTGTCAAGAGCGACGGGGGGTTCAATTACGCCACGACCGACCTCACATGCCTGCTGTAAGCTCTTTGGTGCTGCTGATCCCCCCTTGATGTGGTAGAGAAGGGCTCAGAGTGAGGGCGAGGGGGCGCAGTGCATCTTCGTTGAGGGGCACAACACAAGGTGCCTCTGATCGTTGTGAATAGCGACGACGGGGGCTTCAACTACGCCACCACCGACCTCACCTGCCTGTTGTGAGTTGTTTCCAACCCTGGACTCTGGGAAGACATTTCCGGCTGTTGTGGCTGGTGATGGAGAGTGCGGGGGCGCAGTGCCTCTTCGTTGAGGGGCACAACAAGGTGCCGCTCATTGCTGTGAAGAGCGACCGGGTCTTCAACTATGCCACCACCGACCTCACCTGCCTGCTGTAAGCTATTTGGTACTGTGGCCTCCCTGTTGAATGGGGTAGTGTAGGGGTGAAGGTGGAGAGCGAGGGGGCGAGGTGCGTCTTCGTTGAGGGGCACAAGGCGCCTCTGATCGTGGTGAGGAGCAAAGGGGGCTTCAACTACGCCACCACCGACCTCGCCTGGGCGTTGGTGCATCTGAGTACATAGATCATCCACAGTACCAACACCAGCTACCGCATAGAGGAGGAGAAGGCGCAGTGGATCATCTACGGACGCCAGTCCTCTTAGATGATGCACGGGCGCCAGGAGTCTATTTTTGAGGCGCCTCAAAAATAGACGCCATTCCTCTTAGATGATGCACGGGCGCCAGGAAGTGACACTTGCTGTTCTTTCCCTGGGTTCCTCTCCTCCCTCACCTCCCTTCCTTGCCACTCCATCGCCCCCCCCCACCAGCTACCGCATAGAGGAGGAGAAGGCGCAGTGGATTATCTACGTCACGGACGTCGGTCAAACGCAGCACTTCGACATGTTCTTCAAGGTCAGCTTCTCTTTCCCTGCCTCGTTAAAAGACAACTTGAAAGGAGGCGTCTCGAAACGGGCCGTCTAAAAAACGGCCAAACGCGGCACTTTGACATGTTCTTTATGGTCGGTCAGCAGCCCTTCTGTGCCCTGGTTTCTAGACGTCTCAGACATAGGTGTTTCAAAAACTGTCAAGCGTAGCGCTTCAATATGTTCTTCAAGGTCAGCTGCTCTTTCCCTGCCTCGTTTTTAGGCGTCTCTTAAACAGAGATGTTTCAAACATGCAGAACTCACGATCTGTTCGGTCAAGGTCAGTCAATGCAGGTCAAGCAAAGCACTTTGACGTGTTGTTCTCAAGGGCGGTCAGTCACCTGCTCTTTCACCACCTGGTTAGTAAACGTATCGAAAAGAGACTTCTTGGAAAGAGAATTTTCTCGAAACGAGACTTCTCAAAACGAGACGTCTCAAAACGAGACTTCTCAAATCGAGACTTCTCAAAACGAGACGTCTCAAAACGAGACGTCTCAAAACGAGATGTCTCAATACGAGATGTCTCAAAACGGGACGTCTAAAAAACGGTCACGCACAGCACTTGGATGTGTTCTTCAGGGTGAGTCAGTCAGCTGCTCTTTTGCTCCGTCTTCCTCCCTCCAGGCGGCCCAGAAGGCAGGTTTCTATGCTGGCAAGGCCAAGAAGGGGAAGGCAGCAGCAGCAGCAGCAGCTGACAGCGCAGCCCCAGCAATCCGAGTGGACCATGTGGGGTTCGGGCTGGTGCTAGGCGAGGATGGGAAGCGGTTCCGTACTCGCAGCAGCGAGGTGGTGCGGCTGGTCGACCTGCTGGACGAGGCTGTCACACGCGCCAAGCAGGGACTCGTGGAGAGAGGTGGGTGCTGTTTCTAGGAAAGAGGGAAGCGGAGGGAGAGCGGGAGATATGGAGAAAGGTGAGATGGTGGGGGGGTTGTTTTCGCATGCACAGCAGCGAGGTGGTGCGGCTGGTCGACCTGTTGGTCGAGGCAGTGACACGCGCCAAGCAGGGACTGGTGGAGCGAGGTAAGTTAAGGGAGGGGGTGGGGGCGTGGGTGTTTGCATGTGTATGTGAGCAGTGCAGTGCGTGTGGGAGGGATGACTCTTGGTTCTGCACGCGCAGCAGCGAGGTGGTGCGGTGCAGCTGGTCGACCTGCTGGACGAGGCAGTGGCACGTGGCAAGCAGGGACTGGTGGAGCTAGGTGAGTGCCAGTGCCCGGAGGCGTTTATTTTGAGTAGTCTAACCTCGGTCAGGTGTAATGATTGTAATCTTCAGGTCTAGTAATCTGAAGGTAACTCTTCAGGTGTAAGCATGCCCGTTGCTCCAACCTCCGTCTCCCCTTTCTCGCTGCACGCAATCCCATCAGGCCGCAAGGACGAGTGGAAGGAGGAGGAGGTCAATGCGGCAGCTGCTGCACCTTTGAGCTGGCTCAACGGTCATCTGTGTGCCACATTCACCCTCCCCTGCTCCTTCCTCCTGTCTCTCTCCCTTTCTCTCTCTCTCGCTGCAACCAACCCATCAGGCCGGGAGGGCGAGTGGAAGGAGGAGGAGGTCAACGCGGCAGCTGCTGCACTGGGCTATGGAGCAGTCAAGTGAGTGCTTGTAGTATGGAACGTGCTTATTCACAGCACTCTAGTGTGGCTGACTGGTTATTACGTCTGCTAATTGCTGCCGTTGTTGCCCTGGGCTGTGGGGCAGTCAAGATACTTGTATGGGGAGTGCTTATATAGAACAGTCACTGGGGAGTGGGGCCATCAATTGAGTGGACAGATACACGTTTGGGTACTGTAGTGTACCGTAATTGCACCCTCAACACGCCGTTTCACCCTCACTTTGAGACGTCTCAAAACGCCACTTGGCTATGGCCCATGGGGTAATCAATTGAGTGGACAGATGCGTGGTAAGGTACTGGACTATACCTGCATTGCACCCTCCAGCTCCTCACTCCCCTCTCTCTCCCTTCCACCTCGCTCTCACTCTGCCACCTTGCGCTAGAATTTTCGAAGATTTAGTTTTGAGACGTCTCAAAACAAGTTTGATGGAAATTTAGAAGTTCAGTTTTGAGACGTCCCAAAACTATGCCACCTTGTGATAGATGTCTAGCTTTGCTTTGAGACATCTCGAAAGTAAACTTCTTACTCCCCTTCCCTCTCCCTCTCACTCTGCCACCCAGCTCTCTTGCCAGTCTCAGATATTCGGATCTGAAGAACAACCCACTGACCCTGCTTCCACTCCCCCTCTTTCCCACTCCCCCTCTTTCTCTCTATACCTCCCTCTCACTCTTCCACCTCCCTTGCCCGTCTCAGATATGCGGATCTGAAGAACAACCGACTGACCAACTACACCTTTGATTACGACCAGATGCTCGATATGAAGGTGAGGCTTTTGTGCAGTATGTTGGTTGATACATGGTATGCACTTATGGTATGTGTATGGAGGGCAACCGACTGGCCAACTACACCTTTGATTACGACCAGATGCTCGATATGAAGGTGAGATGATGTTTTGCTGTTATATTATCATATGTGAAGTTATTTTCATATATGTTGTGAGGTTTTGTGTTGTGTGGTGTAGTTTACATGGATGGAGAAAACCGATCCGAGCATACCATCTGCCCCCTTGCCCTTTTTACCATCTTACCCCCTCATTTCCCTCCTCCCTCCTTCCCACCCTCCCCCCACTCCCCCCCTCCCTTCCTCCCCCTCTCCCAGGGCAACACGGCCGTCTACCTGCTGTACGCTCATGCCCGCATCTGTTCCATTATTCGCAAGTCTGGGAAGAACGTCCAGGAGATTGTTCAGGTGGGTGCAACAGAGAGACAGCCCAGGCGAATAATCTGGTGGTGCATAACAGAGGGTCATGGGTTTGATGGTGTATGTGGTTGGGTGGTACAGTATGCTATGATTTGTTCCCAACTTAAGTTTGTCTTTTATCCGTTGTAGCATCACACAGATCGTCATGCTGCCAAACAACCGAATCTGTAGAACCTGGTCTTTGCACACATCTCCCCAGTCTGTGCTGGAATGTGAACTATGGTCCCTCACTCTCTTTTCGCCTATATGCGTGTCTCTCTCCTCGCTCTCCCCTTTCTTTCGCCAATCCAGGAGAGGAGCCAACCTCAGATTGGAATGTGAACTCTGGTCTCACTCTCCCTTCTCCTATGTGTCTGTCTCTCTCCTCGCTCTCCCCTTTTCTTTCGCCAATGCAGAGCGGAGCCAAGCTCAGATTGGACCATCCAAGTGAGCGGGCTCTCGCACTCGAACTCAGCCGATTCTCTGAGGTACTTTGGCTCACGTATACAGTGCGTTACAGCACATGTTACAACTCTGGCATATGTTCTGTTGGTCGCGTTTTACTTGGAACTCTACCTCCCACTCATGCTGCTCTTCCTATCCAAACCCATTGTTGTCCCTCCTTTTTTTCTATCAATTTCCTCCACCCATCCCTCTTGACTTTCCATCAGGTTGTTGAGAGCGCAGTGCAGGACTTGCTTCCCAACACGCTGTGCGAATATCTCTACAATCTCTCTGGGAGCTTCACAACCTTCTACACCAACTGCCAGGTGGTTGGTAACGAGTACGAGGAGAGCCGACTCATCTTGTGCGAAGCAACGGCTGTTGTGATGAGGAAGTGCTTCGAGCTCCTTGGAATCACCCCTCTCTACCGCCTCTAAGCTATTACCTGAGTGAATACTTAGAATGCAACCTTGATCAGTCTGCTTGCTGAAACGGGTATGAGTTATGCCTACACTTTCACAGGTCTCTTTTGTTATCTGCTTCACGAATTTCGTGATAAAAGGTTTTGTTGCCACGTGTACTGCACGTGTGGGCCTCGCCCGTCTGTCCTGTCCTGCTCGCCACCTGCATGGCTAACCAATAGCTATCCATGCTGCCACCTGGAATGAAGTTTGATTTGCTGTCATTGCCGCATTCCATGGTCGCTTTCTGCTCAAATCCCCACAAGCCTGGAACAGGAAGATCCAATCTCCCACACCTTCGCCATGAGTTTTCGCATCTGATTGGTTCCCGTCTCCTCAAGGTTTTTCCAGCTGGCGCATGCGTATTTGCGATCGGGATTCTTGACCTGGCGAACATGCACTCCACTCCACCAAGAATTGTCGTCCCAGATTCAACAGCAATGTGTTTTGCTCTCCTCAACCGTTCAGATGACACGCTCAAACGTCGCACGGCCTGACAACCGTCCGATGTGTAACATAACCGGATATCGAACTGTCAGACGTACAGCCCAACCAGAGCGCCGGGTTCTTCTAGAGCCTCCTGAGTCCTGGTGGAATCCTCCTCAGTCCGCTAGACCCTCCCCCAAAAGATAAATTCGTCTGCACTTACCTCTGATTCAGTCCTTATTCTGCAGCAGCACTTTCTCCTTTCCGCGTACAGTGCTGAGGCCATGTCCGTTGCTTGTGCTCCCAATTCAGCTCCACTGTCCCGCCATTTCAGTTCAACTTGGCTTTAGTGAGTTGTCCTCGGGATAGCGTTGGGCTGAAGTGGAGGAATATCTTCCCCAGCTTCACCGCAACTTTCCCTACTGGTGTCTACGCGGTACTCTACCGAATTACAGTAGGGCGTAATTTGAAGTCAGTCACGCAACTACACCGAAGGTGGTTTTTTTAAACCGTCACAGTACTACTGTTTGCTGTAGCCAATTCTTCGCGTTTTAGTTGCATTACTCGCGGAGACCTGATACATCCCAGAGTCAACACATCCGTGTGGCCGGTTCACACGAACCATGGCGACCGCGACGCTCCCGTCTGCCCAATGCCAGCTCGCCACGTGTCAACAATCCTCCCACGTGGACACCTCTTTAATACGCAGCGCGGCGTCGTCCGTTGCCGGCGGTAGGGCTCTGCGAAGAGCTATCGCGAGGGGAGCCGCTGCGGGATTCGGAAGAAGTTTCGGAAGCGAAAGGAGAGGGAGGGGGGGAGCGTGGGGAGCGGGGAGGTTGCGCGTGAGGGCGGTGGCGGAGGAGGAGGTAGACGTCGAGGGGGAGAGCATCGCCGATGATTACTACTCCATCCTCGGTCTGGTACGTTCTTAGTTTGGAAGTCATGTCGACTTGGTCGATTAGCCGCCGACTTAGAAGCATGCCTACCGCCTGTCGTTCTCGCTATTGTGGTGCCAAGATGCTGCTTTGGAGCTCGTCGGACATTATCCCAGTGAGCGCCGTGCTCGATGCTGCTTTGGAGCTCGTCGGACATTATCCCAGTGAGCGCCGTGCTCGATGCTGCTTTGGAGCGTTTGTACCCATCTGGATGTTCTTACCTTGTCAATTTTTTAGGCGCCTAAAAAATAGACTCCTCACGCATGTTCCTACCTGGTCCCAGGCTCTTCCGCGAGGTGGCTTTTGAGTGACTCAAAAGGTGCCATCTGGATGACGTGGTCCCAGGCTCTTCCGCGAGGTGGCTTTTGAGTGACTCAAAAGGTGCCATCTGGATGACGTGGTCCCAGGCTCTTCCGCGAGGTGGCTTTTGAGTGACTCAAAAGGTGCCATCTGGATGACGTGGTCCCAGGCTCTTCCGCGAGGTGGCTTTTGAGTGACTCAAAAGGTGCCATCTGGATGACGTGGTCCCAGGCTCTTCCGCGAGGTGGCTTTTGAGTTGCTCAAAAGGCTCCATTTGGATGACCTGGTCCCAGGCTTTTCCGCTGTCACCCGTCCACCCTTGCCATCATTCACACTTGACGTCTGACGAGATAAAGCGCGCATACTATGCGTGCATCAAGGCGTGCCGTTTGTTCTCCAGACCGACCTCACTCCTTCCGTTCTTGTCTGTTGCTCTCTCCCTTTGCTCCTCCCTCTCTCCATGCTCCCCCAGACGTCTGACGCTACGCCGGACGAGATCAAGCGAGCGCACTACGCGTGCCACCCGGATGCCCTGAATGCCTTTTGAGGCGCCTCAAAACGAGGCCCTCAAAACGAGGCCCTCAAAGCGAGGCCCTCAAAACGGTTGGCATTCAAGCGAGCGTACTACGCGTGGCACCCGGATGCCCTGAATGCCTCCGCGGTCCCGTTCCCTCTCTACCCGTTTCTCCGAATGCCGTTTCTCCGGATGCCGTTTCTCCGATGCGACGGACGTTTTCCCCCACAGACCTCGGATGCGACGCTGGACGAGATAAAGCGCGCGTACTACGCGTGCATGAAGGCGTGTGATTCGTGTGCCCTGACCTCACTCCTTCCGTCTTTGCCCATCTCTCTCTCCGTGCCATTATAGACATCCGACGCTACTCCCGACGAGATCAAGCGCGCGTACTACGCGTGCATGAAGGCGTGTCATCCGGATCTGAGCAACAACCATCCGGACAGTGTCGCCTTCTGCTCCTTCGTCAACGAAGTGTACGAGGTACGGTTTATTCTGTAGCGTACGCGTTACGTGTCATCTGGGTCTGAGTAACAACCACCCCGAGAGTGTCGCCTTCTGCTCCTTCGTCAACGAGGTGTACGAGGTACGGTTCATGCTGTACGTTTCAGTCTGTAGCGTACGCGTTACGTGTCATCTGGGTCTGAGCAACAACCGCCCGGGCAGTGTCGCCTTCTGCTCCCTCTTATAACAATTCCTTCTGCCCGTTTGGGCCTCTACCATTTTCCTGCATATAGCTGCCGAGAGATCCCGAGATCAAGCGGCTGGTGTGAGGCGAGATCAAGGGCTACTAGCTGACGTCCATCCATCTGCTCTCCGCCACTCCCCCCCCCCCCCCCCCCCCCCCAATTCCCCTCCCCGCCTTCCCCCTCCCCTCCGGCAATTCCTCCTCTGCGTCCGTGTAGCTGTTGAGTGATCCCGAGATCAAGCGGCTGGTGTGCGACGAGATCCAGGGCTACTCGCTGACGTCGGCCAATCAGCTCTCCCCCTCTTTCCCACCCATCTTCCCCCGCTCCCCTCATCCTCCCTCCCCCCAACACCTTCGCACCTACACTCCCCCACCGTCCATCCCTCGTTCGCACGTGCACGTCTAGGTGCTTAGCGATCCCGAGATGCGGCTGGTGTACGACGAGATCAAGGGATATTCGCTGACGTCTGTCAACCCTTTCGTGGACAACCGGCACGAGAAAGACCAAGTGTTCGTCGACGAGTTCACGTGCATTGGTGAGTCAACGCTCTTGTTCTGGGGATGGGGTGTACGATGAGATTTAGGAACACTCTCGCTGACGTCCAGTAACGCGTGTATGGACACGTGGCATGACGAATTTACATGTAACGATAAGTGTTCGTGCTTGTAACAGAGCGTGACTTTGATTTTATATTGTAACAACATGTTTCTGCGTGTATTCCCCATTCACAGTGCGAGTGATGCGTTTTACTTAAAACGAGAAGTGCTGTTCTACATTTTTCCCTCCATATCCCCGCTATTAGGTTGCAAGAACTGCGCCAATACCGCGGAGGAGACATTTGAGATCGAGGAGATGTGGGGCCGGGCTCGCGTGTGCAACCAGGGCGGCAACGCGCCCTCCAAGATTCAAGAGGCGGTTGAGACCTGGTGAGTCAACGCGAGTCAACGCCTGTCAACACAAGTAGATATCCCCAGGGTTCTAACCTTGCTGAGTCGAACATCCCCGCTTTGTTCCCCTGCTCCAGTTCTCTCATACCCCTCCAGTTCCCATTCGATTTTTGAGGCGCCTCAATATTCGCAGCTCCTCCTTTCATCCCCTCCAACTCCCCTCCTCCCCCTCCTCCCTCCTCGAGGTGACTTTAGAGTCGACTCAAACGTTACCTGGTTACAATGTCACACAACACTTTCGCTTTTGAGTCGACTCAGAAGTCACCTCGTTACCATTCGCAGCTCCTCCTTCCATTCCCTCCCCACTCCCCTCCTCCCCCTCCTCCAGTTTTGAGGCGCCTCAAAACTAGTGTCCTCCCCCTCCTCCCTCCTCACTGATCAACTCTCCCCATTACGCGCCCTCCAATGCCTCCCATTCTACCTACAGCCCTGTGTCGTGCATTCACTGGGTGACGTCACCTCAGCTGGCCCTCTTGGAAGACGAGATGCGGCGCATGGAGCGAGTGAGCGTGGCGATCATGCAGGCGCAGAGCAGCAGGGGGGCCGATGTGTTCATGCAAGCGAATTCGAGATGGGAGAAGAGAAGAATGCGAGCACTGGTGAGTTGCTGTTTTGGTTGAGGCAGCTTATAAGGAGGATGCGGTCACTGCAGGCGAAGGGGGGGGGGGGGGGGGGGGGAGGATGTGCTGATACTGTGCTGATACAGGCGAATTCCAGATGGGGGAAGCGGCGGATGAAAGCGCTGGAGAGTGCAGCCTTGAGTGTGGCAATGAGGATGCCAGGGGACGGGTCAACATGGCGAGGCAACGCAGTGGACGTCTATGACAAGGCTGCTACCACTATTGTCGGGCTTATCTCTTATCCCTCAATCCTGTGCCCCTCTCCCTTCCTTTTCCAATCCCAACCCCCCGGCTACTCGCTCCAGTCGAAGGCAAAGGCACAGGCGGCAAGGGACGGGCGCAAAGACAAGTACAGCAAGCCCCTGTGGGAGACGATGGGCGAGGCCATGGGGATGTCAGGAGACAATGCCACGTGGCGGGGCGACGCGGAGGACGTGTATGACAAGGCCGCCACTGGCGCTCCTATTAACCAAGAGAAGGTGCGGCGGGCGGCTGCGGCTGCTAGGAGATGGAGGGAGTACTCCCGGCAGGGGGTGGACCGGAGGCGAAAGATGTACCTGGCTGCTGAATCAGGGGGGTCGTCGGAGGAGGAGAGTGAGGGGGAGGAGGAGGGGAAGGGGAAGGGAAAGCAGGCAGAAGAGAGGGATAGGGAGCCTGTTGCTCTGTAGTTTGGCAGGAGAAGGTGAGATGGGCGATAACAGTGGATAGGAGGTGGAGGGAGTATCCCGGCAGGGGGTGGACCAGAGGAGAAAGATGTACCTTGCTGCTGAGTTGGGGGGGTCGTCGGAGGAAGAGAGTGATGGGGGGAGTGCGGAGGAGGGGGAGGGGAAGCAGAAGGGAAAGCAGGCAGAAGAGAGAGATAGGCAGCCTGTTGCTCTGTAGAATGGCAGAAGGTAGGTGGGTGACAACAGTGGCAGCAGGCAGAGGGTTTACTCCCGTAGGAGGTGATCCGGAGGGAAAATACCTATCTTGCTGCTGATGGGGGTGTTCATAGGAGGAAGAGAATGAGTGGGAGGAGGAGGTGAAGGAACTGGAGGGAGGGAATTGGGAGGGAGCCTATAGCTGTGTAACAGGCTGGTAACCTGCAATAACTTGCTTTAGTCTGTAAAGATGTGTTGTTTGTAGCATGTTTGTACTAGCATGCTGTTGAGATGTCACTGCGACATGATTGAGTTATGGTACGAGTTTTCTCTTGCAGCTGCTGGTGCAGTGCAGCGCAGCACTTGATCATGCTTGCCCTGTAGGTTGAGGGTTAAGGTGAGGAACAAGCTGGAATGGACAGACAATGTGTCTCAAAACTAGAATTGAATGATGATAGAGTTAGAGAGTACATGCACATATACCTAAATGTTGTACCCTCTAGGAGGTTACCCTATACAGTCTATACAAACATGATCAATAAACATGTTTGACACACCCCCTGGACTGCATAGGGGAATGTCCTAAACAAGCAGCTCAGGGCGGCACTACTAGTCCAGCCTCTGAGACAAGGGTCTAAAAGACCAGTCAGAAGGAGTACAGACAAGACAAGAACAAGTACAGGGCGGCACTACTAGTCCAACCACTGTGAGAGGACACAAGTCCAGTCTGAGTGTACACATATATATAGGACAGTACAAAGTCAAGGCCCGAGTAAGTGAGGGACTACAGGAACCAGACCAAGCTGTACACAGTGCCGCTGATGATCTTTAGGCGCAAGCGCCTTCGTAAAGATATCAGCTGTGTTGGCACCGGAGGCCAAGTGTACTACGCGAGCCTGGCGACGCTGCTGGAGCTCGCGCAGGAGGAAGTACCGCAGCTGGATGTGCTTCGCTCTACCCTCGAGTCGAGGCTCCTGACACAGGAGGATCATGGCCCTGTTGTCAGCGTACAGGACCGGGGCAGAGCTAGGCCGCTCACCTAAGTCAGTGAGCAAGAAGGTCAGCCAGCGGAGCTCCTGTGCCGCCATGGCACCGGCGTAGATCTCAGCCTCACAGCTGGACTCGGCAACAGACGAGGAGCGGGTAGCTCTCCACGAGACAGCACCTGAGCCAAGGCTGAAGCAGTAGCCCTAGGAAGACCTGAGCGTCTCGACGTCGTCTGCCCAAGAAGCGTCTGTGTGTCCAGTAAGGACCACTGGCCTGCGTCCGCGTAGCACTAACCCCATGCCCGATGTACTTGCAAGATAACGCAAAACCCTCTTAGCGGCAGACCAGTGCTGAGGTCGGTGTCTGCCTGTGGCCACGAAACGAGCCAGGATGCTGAGAGGGTATGCGAGATCTGGGCGAGTGCAAGTCATCAGGTACATGAGGCAACCCACTAGCTCAGCGTAAGGACCACTGGGATCTACCGACTCCTCAGGAACTCGAGCGGAGAGTCTGTGGTCCAGAGGAAGAGGGGTGGGCTGTGCGGAGGAGAACTGAAGGCCGAACCTCTGAAGGACCTGGCGCACCAAGTGTGACTGAGTCAGGGTGATGGTGCGCGCGGCTCTGTCCCTGGAGATCTGCAAGCCAAGGTAATGGCGCAGCTCTCCAAGGTCAGTGCAGGTGTGTCTCTTCAGCAGCTCTGCCTTCACGGAGGCCAGTGCGTCCCTGTCAGCTGTGGCAAAGACCAGGTCGTCTACGTAGACAAGGATGTAGAACGGAGTCGGGCCAGCACGAACGAAGAGCGAGGGGTCTGCAGAGGACGGAAAGAACTGCAGGTCAGCAAGGGTAGCACGCAGCGTGTCGTGCCACTCACGAGGCGCCTGGCGCAGGCCGTAGACTGGACGCCGCAGAAGCCACTGGGTCCCAGGGGGGAAAGTGCCAGTAAAGCCCTGAGGACGACGCAGGTAGACCTGCTCGTGAAGGCTGCCCTGAAGGAAGGCAGTGGAGAAGTCGAGGGAGTGAAGCTCGTAGTCACGCTGAGCCGCTACGTGTAACAGAACCCGAAGAGTAGTCATCTTCGGCGTAGGAGCGAAAGTCTGAAAGAAGTCCACCCCCTCGCGCTGACTGAAGCCTCTAGCCACGTAGCGCGCCTTGAACACAGGCGGCTCTCCAGGAGGGCGCTTCACCTTGAAGAGCCAACGGCCATCGACCACGTTCACCCCAGGTGGGGGAACTGCGTCGACGAAGGTGCCGGTGGATCTCCAAGATGCCATCTCCTGTTCCATGGCAGCTATCCACTGAGAGGCCCAGGGTCCCGAAACCGCCTCAGCGTAAGTACGAGGGGTCGGGATGTCGAAAGCGTCTGGGTCACCCTCAGGGACTAGCAGCATGGAACAGAGATGGGGAGCAGCCTCGGACAGGAAAGCAAGCTCAAACTGGCGGTCCTCCAGGACGTCACTGCCGAGGGCAGGAGCACCCCCGACAGACGGAGGACAGGCAGGGTCGGAGACCAGAGCGGTAGCGTAGTCAAGGCGGCGGGTAGAGGCGAAGTCAGCGACCGCAGCGACAAGGGCGTCAAGACTCGACAATGGAACAGACGGGTCTGTAACCAGAGAGGCAAGGACCCGAGGAACAAGAGGACGAGCGGCACGAAAGTAGTCAGACAGAGGAGGAGACGCAACGACAAGAGAGGACGGAGGAGGAGACGGGAGGAGGGGAGGACGAGACACGTGGGACCGGAGCAACATAGGGTGAGAGCGCGGGACGGGGGAGACAGGACGAGCACGGGAGGGGCGGCGAGACCAGACGTGAGAGGGAGGCGTCGGGTCAGGAGACAGAGGAGGGGACACTGGTGGGGAACGAGGGGGAAAACGAGCCGGGGACGAGTCCGGCGGAGGGAACACGGGGCCGTAGACGGGAAGAGGAGGAGACGGCAGGTGAGGAACAGGCGCAGGGTCAGGGGACGGAAGGCCGAGCAGACGGAGGGCGGACACCGGCGGGGACTGCTGCTGCGGCGACACAACACCAACGCCAGGGCCACAAGTTGCGCGACTGCTACTTCCCGAACCCTCCACACCGGCACCCCCAGAAGGGACACCCCCAGAGCACGAAACCCCGCCAGCACCGGTACCACCCCCAGGCCCGCCGGGACAAGCCACGACAGGAGCCCCGGGACTAGTACCCACCTCAACGCCAGCACCCCCAGAGTCCACAAACAGCGGCAGCGACGACTGCGGCGGCGGCGGCGGCGGCTGCAGCGACGGCCGCGACGGCGGTGGCGGCGGAGACGACGGCTGCAACGGCGGCGGCGGTGGAGACGACGGCTGCAGCAGCTGCGGCGACGGCGGCTGCGGAGGCGGTGGAGGAGGAGACACCGGGGGAGGGACAGACGGCGAGGACTGCGCCGGAGGACTACCAGAGTCAGAAGACTCGTCGACCGGGACGACCGACGGGAGGGGGGTGACGTGAGACACACCAGAGGGGGCCGGACGGGGGGGCGGGGGGGGGGAGGGGCAGGGACCACCGGGGAAGGAGGGACCAGGAACAGGGGGGGAGTAACCGGGGGACCACGGTGGGGGAAGCGGCGGTAGAAGGAGACGGACTCGTCAAAGGTGACGTTGCGAGAGTGAAAGAAGCGGTGAGACGGCGGGTGGTAGAAGTGCCAGTCGGACGCGTCAAGGGGGAAACCGAGGAAGACGCAGGGGAGGGTGCGGGCAATGAGCTTGTCCGTGCCAGAGGCACGAACGTGAGCAAGGCAGCCCCAGACGTGGAACGCAGACGCGTCACCAGGGGACCCGGTCCACAGAAGGGTCGGCGAAACCGGCGGCCGCTGGGGGTGCGGCCACAGGTTAAGCTGGTGAGCGGCGTAGCGCACGGCGAACGGCCACAGAAAATGGGGTGCACCGGCGTGGATCATGGAGGTGCGAGCCACCTCCATGACCAAACCGATGCGTCGCTCAGCGACCCCATTCTGCTGCGGGGAGTCCGGCAGGGTAAACGTCTGGGTGATGCCCTCCGCACGACAGAAGCGACCAAGGACACCTGAGGCAAACTCGCCACCCCGGTCGGAGTGGAGGCGCAAGGCAGGGAGACCGCGGTGGACACGAGCAGAGACAAGCCAGGGGATGAGAACGTCAGGCACTTCGGCCTTCCGCTCCAGGGGAAAGACGGTGGTGTAGCGCGTGAAGTCGTCGAAAAGCACTAGGAAGAAGCGCTCGCGACGCGGCCCATGGACCGGGGCTGGGCCCCAGACGTCCATGTGCAGAGTCTGCAGTGGTGCGGTGGTAGGGGGAAACGAGGAGGAGTGAGGGGCACGGCGGAGCCGGCCCTCGACACAAGGCGTGCACGGGGGGGCGGGGGAGGAGGGAAACTCGGGGAACGAACCGGGGAGACCAAGGACGAGACCGTGCTGGGACATGTGACGCAGACGCGGGAGTGCAGGGTGACCAAGGCGGTGGTGCCAAAGGAGAGTCGGGTGAGTGAGGGACCGACAGGAGCACGCAGCAGCAACCTGGGTGGACGCAGCGACCTGGGGGGAAGACCCAGCCGGGGAAGTCGCGGTGTCAAGTGTGAACAGGCCGGACACCGGGTCCCGGGGGAACGTGGACAGGGGGGCACCAGTGGCGGCCTCGGTACAGACAGCATACCGCTCGTGACCAGGGAACGTAGTGGTGACGCCAAGGTCCTGGAGGCAGCCGACACCAACTAGGTTCCTGGAGAACGAGGGGATATGCAGACCTGTAAGCGAACCTGAAGGAACCGCCAGACAGGGAAGGGAGGTGGAACTGCGGGCAACGACGGGACCACCGGAGGGGTCAGCAAGAGTAACTGCAGCGGGAACAGGCAGCGGCGTCAGCGTCGTGGAGTCGCGGAAGAAACACCGGGAGGCGCCAGAGTCCAAGGTGAAGGAAAGCGCAGCAGTCGCGCGAGGCGGCAGTGAAGCGGTGGAAGCACCGAGGCTAAGCAAAGCAGGAGATCCTACGCCTGACGCAGCAGGGGAGTCTACGATAGGCACATCTACACTAGGCAACACAGGGTAATAAGAGGGAAGCACACTAGAGTCATCAGCATACATCACATGCAAGGCTGCTACAATGGCATCCATGAACAAGTCAAAAATCTGAATGCTACGCCTAAGCAAGCTGTGCCAGTCCGGGAGGTCGGGCGCCGGGCCAAAGCGCTGACGGAACAGGTCGTCCAGACGACGAAAACAGCGAGGAGTGGAATGACCGATCTTACCGCAAACGAAACTGCGGCGAGGACCGGTCTGGATCTGGTACTGACAGCGCCCGCCTCCAGAACCACCACCCGGCGCACCACCACGCGCACGACCACCACCAGCTCCAGGCCACCCAGGCGGGAGAGCACTCGCCTGCCTCGTCTGCGGCGGCTGCTGCGGAGGCTGCGGCTGCGGCGACTGCTGCTGCGGCGACTGTGGAGGCAGCGGGGCAGCTGGACTGGCAAGGGTCCCCACGTCCGCACCGGCACCGGACGACCCGACTCCACCACCACCCCCACCCGCACCCCCGCCGCCTCCGCCGCTCCCAACCTTGGGGCGGCGGCCCTTCCCCGAGCGGGACTGCACTGCAGCAGCAGTCTCAGCCACAGCGACAGAGCCGTCGGAGAAGGTACACTGAGCGAGGGCACAACCCTGAAAGATAGGGACCGGTACTGTACCGCTCGCCTGGGCGATGGAGCGGTGACGAGTCTCTATAACAGTCAGGGTGTCAACAAAGTCGGTGAGGGTGAGAGCAGCTGGGTGGATGCTAAGGAACTGGTCGCGGGCGGCGGCAAGGCGGTCAGGGAGGCGGGTGGCAAGGAGGTAGAGGGTAGAGGTCATGGGAGGCTGGTGGACTCTAAGCTGTGCATCAGTGCAGGCAGCGCGCCAGGTCTCATCGATCGAGCGCAGGTGGGCAGCGAGGTCAGAGACAGTGGGGAAAGACGCAAGGTCAGGAAAGAGCAGGGGGAGGATCAGGTGACCCACTGAGGCAGCAGGAGGGGTAGAATAGCGCTTGATGACAGCATCGAGGTAGGCCTGGGCGGTAGTAATGGTTCTAAAGCGAGGGCGCTCAGGGGGGGGGAGGGCATTGCTAATGGCGAGCTGAGCAAGGGCATCGCGGGAAAGCCAAACAGAGCGGGCAAGGGCAGCGGCGGCAGTGGACTCGCGCTCAGTGGGCGTGGGATCAGCGGGCAGCACAGCAGGGGGGTCAGGGCAGGGGAGCATACCGTCTAGGTGGGCAGAAAGCGGGTGGCCGTCCTGCCGCTGACCAGTGAGGTGGCGGCGAAGGTCAGCCAACCACGCCTCGAACTCCAGAGGCTGACCCTCAGCATCAAAACGAAGCTCAGCAGCCATCAGGGGCAGTGTAGGACGGTGGAGTGCGGTGTAGTGCTGTGCAATGCGGTGCAGGGCGGTGCAGTGCGGTGCAGTGCGATGCAGTGCGGTGCAGTGCGGTCCAGTGCGGCGCAGTGCGGTGCAGTGCGGTCCAGTGCGGTGCAGTGCGATGCAGTGAGGTGCAGTGCGGTCCAGTGAGGTGCAATGCGGTGCAAGGCGGGGCAGGGAAGTGCAGGAGGGTGCAAAGCGGTGCGGGGAACGGGGGACAGTACCAGGAAGTATGTAGGGCCGGGGCAGGCGCGACGGGACCGGGCAGGCGCGACGGGGCCGGGCAGGCGCGACGGGGCCGGGCAGGCGCGACGAGGGGCCAGGCAGACGCGACGGGGCCGGGCGGCTGCGACGGGGCCGGGCGGCAGCGACGAGGCCGGGCGGCTGCGACGAGGCCGGGCGGGCGTGACGGGGCCGGGCGGCTGCGACAGGGGCCGGGCGGGCGCCACGGGGCCGAGCGGCTGCGACGGGGCCGAGCTGGGGCGACGGGGCCGAGCAGGTGTGGCGGGGCCTTGGAGGGGCGCGACGGGGCCCAGGAGGGGCACTACAGGGCCCTGGAGGGGCGCGACGGGGCCCAGGAGGGGCGCTACGGGGCCCAGGGAGGAGCGCGGCAGGGCCCAGGAGGGGCGCTAAGGGGGGGGCCCAGGAGGGGCGCGACGGGGGGCCCAGGAGGGGCGCGACGGGCCTAGGGAGGGGCGCGACGGGGGCCCAGGGAGGGGCGCGACGGGGGCCTGGGAGGGCGCGACCGAGCCCAGGAGGGGCGCGACAAAGCCCAGAAGGGGCGCTACGAAGCCCTGGAAGGGGCGCGACGGGGCCTGGAGGGGCGCTACGAAGCCCTGGAAGGGGCGCGACGGGGCCTGGGAGGAGCGCGACGGGGCCTGGAAGGAGCGCGACGGGGCCTGGAAGGAGCGCGACGGGGCCTGGGAGGAGCGCGACGGGGCATGGGAGGAGCGCGACGGGGCCTGAGAGGAGCACGACAGGGCCCAGGAGGGGCGCTAAGGGGCCCAGGAGGGGCGCGACGGGGCCCTGGAGGGGCGCTACAGAGCCCAGGAGGGGCGCGACGGGGGCCTGGAGGGGCGCTACGAAGCCCTGGAAGGGGGCGCGACGGGGCCTGGAGGGGCACTACGACGACCTGGAAGGGGCGCGACGAGGCCTGAGAGGAGCACAACGGGGCTCAGGAGGGGCGAGGCTAGGCTAGGAGACGCGACGGGAGGAGCGGAAGCGGTAGGTGGGGGGGGGGGGGGGGTCGAAACCTACGCGTGATACCATCTCAAAACTAGAATTGAATGATGATAGAGTTAGAGAGTACATGCACATATACCTAAATGTTGTACCCTCTAGGAGGTTACCCTATACAGTCTATACAAACATGATCAATAAACATGTTTGACATGTGTGCAGTATACTAAGCTATAGTGTCCCCTCTATAATGTACTCCTTTTACACAACTGTTCCCAAAGGTGGTCAACTTCCCATGATTTGAAGTCTGTCAATTATTTAGCCTATAAAATTCTACGTTTCCCAGACCAGTAGTTCAACAGTTGTTTATTATATAACAGTTTTAGGTTCAATTAAAGAAACTAAGAACTAATTACCATCCTTTTTCTTCTTGGCCACGCGGTAACCGCCCACCACACAGGCATGATCTCGCTCATATGGCTCCAGGGTAAGTTGCTCCGCGGGTTTGAACTGCTCCTGCTGCAATTTCGCCACTTCTTTAGCGAACACCGCTTCTGCTGGCACTGTAGAATCGATACAGTTGGCCTTGATGCTTATAACGAAGTGCCCACCCGTCTTCAGGAAATAATGCGCGTTCAAAGCGACGATACGAGCCTGATGAAATCAAGGTGGAAGGGGGGGTAGTGGAAGGGGCCGGAGGGAGATGACAGGAGGGGGGTAGCGGGGACAGAATGGGGAGAGGGGGGAGGAGGGAGGAAAGAGAGAGAGGAGGAGAAAGGGGGGAGGGAAGAAAAGAGGCAGACATTGATAGCGAAATCAGGGTGTTCCTGCACAGGAACAAACTGAAATATAAACTTACTTACAGAACAGGTGTATGAACGAGAAGGGGCAACATCAACGAAGTAGACGAAGGAAACCGAAAATAAGACGAGCCGTGTACAGCGCTACTTGGTTTTTTAGAGAGACAGAGAACCATGCGGGGTGAGTGGTCGCAGCATCAGCCTCGAAGGACAGAATTTCACGATTTAACATTCGTGTATGGGGAATCCGACTCCAGTCCAATCATCACTTGCTGGCCACTCTACACCCCTTGCAGCAAAGAATCGAAATGCTTAAAGCGAGTGCACGAGGTGAGCACATCGGATCTAGAGGGATTAGGGGGGCAAGAATTGGGCGAAGGAAATAATAAGAAAAGCGACACTGCACCCATCCAATTGCATTGTTACATAAAATAAGTATATTATGAACTCCGATTCGGCTCAAGAAAAAAGAACCTGATCTGGTTGCGCCACGTCAGCGAAGATCGTATCCACCATGCCGACGAGCATGCGATAGCGCTGCGGGTGCCTGGCGTCCTCGATGATGGGAATGACGTTGGTTCGACGCTTCGCCATGTTCACGAGATCGCGACCCGACCGGTGCGAAAACTCCACTGCGTACACGATACCCGTCTGAGGAAAGAGGAGGGTGGGGGGGAGAGAGCATGGGAGGGAGAAGGGGGGGGGGCTTATAAGGGTACGGCGTGTGTGATCAGGCCAACTAGTTGAAAGGTCGGCGCAATGAAAATCGAACGGAGGGAAAGGGCGGAAAGTATGTGGCTTAGGGAAGAGAGGGGGCGGGGCAGGGGGAGAGGCGCCGGGGGAGGGAAAGTCGGGGGGGGAGGGTGTAAGGGGGCCAGGGTGAGGGTATATGGAGAAATGTGTAGTGGCGAGGCAGAAAACAGATACGAGGGTGCAGGAGTAGGAAAAGATAAAAACAGAAGTCCTTACCGGGCCAACAATATCGGAGACGTGGGAGACGGTGGTTCCAGAGGCAGCACCGAGGTACAGCACGTGGGATCCGGGTTTCTGCAAGCAGATAATTGAACAAACGAAAGCAATCCATAACAGAATAAATATAATGAAGCACGTACCGATGAGTAGCAAAATTTCGAAGCAAGAACACGAGGGAAAACAAAAATGTGAGCTGGGAAACGGAGAGGAACACTGCCACGACCTAAGAAACTAATTCTCCAATTCAGAAGTGCGGCGGAAATGCTTGAAACGGGGACGTACAATCCAGATGTTGTCAACGCCACCAAGAATGGCGGCGGCGAGCTTCGACCGGAAAGGATTCCACACTCGGTACTCCACCTTGTTCCCTTCCTCCAGCTGCAAGGGAACATGGAAAGAAAAAAGGTAACTATAAAAAAACGAAAAAAAGGTTACGAAAAAGGTAGAGTAGCAAGTCTAAAAAACAACGCCATGCGTCTCTCCCTGCTGAAATAAAAAGGGGTTAAAATGTGATGCTATTGAGTCTGTACGCACCTCAACGCTGATTCGCTTCTCGCCATAAACGCTCTCCCCGGTAACCATGTTCCTGGTGACGAGGGCATCTTCCTTCCCGCGCGCGACAAACACGCCCTCGTGGCGATGCGGCTCCACAACCACCTTCGCTCCGCCCTTCATCCCCCCGCGCCCCCCGCCTCTCCCGCCTCCGCGGCCCCTTCCACCGCCTCTTCCACCTCCGCGTCCCCCGCCACGCCCGCCAAAACCACCGCGACCTCCGCCGCCACCCCTTCCGCCGAAGCCTCCGCCACCGCCCCTTCCGCCGAAGCCTCCGCCGCCCCTGCCGCCGAAGCCACCTGAAGGAAAGGATATAAAAATAAAGCGAGAGAGGGTACGTGTGAGGTTTTTAACCAGATTCTTAAACAAGGACACCTTCAGCTTGCTAGCGCGCCACAAGGGACAAGTAGGCGATGCATTGAAGGCCACAAAGAACAGGATTGCAACTTGCTATGGCATGTAGAGGAGAGCGCCCGTGGAAGATAGCGCCAAAAGATAGCGCCCAAGGCTAGAGAAGCACGCACCTCTACCGCGAGGAGGCCCCATTGTTCAAGGACAGTGGACGATCTAAATGCAGTAGAAAGACTCAGTCGTGCCGTGTGGCTGAGCAGCGATTACTACTGCCAGCTCGAAAACGTGGTACCAGCACTACTACGTGGTACAAGCTCGAAAGTGTGGTACTGCAAAATAAGACTGAGGCAATGCGATATGCAGTACCTTGGGATGCAAGGGAACGAGAAGAAGGTGGTTCTCGATTTATCGAAGGGAGGGGGCGAAATGGGATGGCGGGGGCTCATACGGGGTTTCCGTCGGGTTAGCGTATGGGGCTTTTGCTGCTTGGCAAAACCCCTGCCAGCATCAACTTGAAGAGGTGGTTTCCACCGTATTGTAACACGCGAAACAGGAGTGTTACAACACGGGTCGATCTGTTACACTACATCTTCACATTTGTCCTGCCTTTTCATGCTTTCCATATGAACCATAATTATTGTTTGCAACTTATTGTTCTTCAGCATTTCCACTCGTAGCCGTTTCAATGCATACATCGGTAGGGCACTTCTCATCACATGCAACTGTAAGAGGAGCCTTTGGAAGCACATAAGGCACAATCTAACAAGCACAAAGGCCATGGCATCTACGCAATCTGAACCGTCCATCCCATTGTGTCCTGATCCACGCCCTTCTGAATGTTTGTGAGCCGCTCGTACAGCAGCTGCGAAACCTTCCCTGCCTCTCCGCTGCCGAATGTCGTCCTGGTTTGGGTGGAGGTGAAAGGGATCAGATTAGCACAGAGGCTGGAGAGAAAGAGTACACAATTCGATTGTTCCATTTCAGACAGCCAATCCAAACCTTACCAACTATGACTTTGTGCATGTCTCAACTTACTTTTCCCCTCTGAAGGTCACAGCGCCCACAGGAGAGAGCACGACAGCTGTCCCTGTGCAGAACACCTCATCCGCACCCAGCAAATCCTCAATCGACACCTGGCGCTCCTCCGCCTGTAAGGGGATGGATGGACGGATGAGTGGATGAATGGATGGATGGATGGATGGATGGATATACGGACGGACGGACGGACGGATGGATGGACGGACGGATGGATGCATGCATGGATGGATGGATGGATGGATGGATGGATGGATGGATGGATGGATGGATGGATGGATGGATGGATGGATGGATGGATGGATGGATGGATGGATGGATGGATGGATGGATGGATGGATGGATGGATGGATGGATGGATGGATGGATGGATGGATGGATGGATGGATGGATGGATGGATGGATGGATGGATGGATGGATGGATGGATGGATGGATGGATGGATGGAAGGATAGACGGACGGACGGACGGACGGACGGATGGATGGATGGATGGATGGATGGATGGAAGGATGGACGGACGGACGGATGGATGGATGGACGGATGGATGGATGGATGGATGGATGGATGGATGGATGGACGGATGGATGGATGGATGGATGGATGGATGGATGGATGGATGGATGGACGGATGGATGGATGGATGGATGGATGGATGGATGGATGGATGGATGGATGGATGGATGGATGGATGGATGGATGGATGGATGGATGGACGGACGGATGGATGGATGGATGGATGGACGGATGGATGGATGGATGGATGGATGGATGGACGGATGGATGGATGGATGGATGGATGGATGGATGGATGGATGGACGGATGGATGGATGGATGGACGGATGGATGGATGGATGGATGGATGGATGGATGGATGGATGGATGGATGGATGGATGGACGGACGGATGGATGGATGAGTGGGTGGATGGATGGATGGATGGATGAGTGGCTGGGGGTGCGAGAGTGCGATGTCCAGAGAGTGAGTGAAGCCATATGTTGTAGACGCCAGGTGGAGCAGACTGCAAGCACTAAAGCAGCACGAGCTTCTTGAGCCCAAACTCTAGCCGAGGCCAGAGCCGAGTAGCCCACGACTTGTCTCTTACCTTGTATCGTATCCCAGTGCCTGAGCTCAAGAATGCTGCGTCGAGTGATGCCTGCGAGAATGGCGCCCCTTAGGAGACTAGTGCGTTGACTTTTGAGTTGACTTGTACCAGTCAACTAAACGAGCACTTGCCTTGTAACCCAGCGCCTGTGCGAGCTCAAGGATGCTGCGGCGAGTGATGCCGGCAAGGATGGTGCCCCTTAGATCCGGTGTGGAAATCACGTTGTCCTTCACAACGAAGATGTTGCATGATGACACCTCCTCAATGTACCTGTCACATGGGAGCACACACAGAACGGGTAGAATAGAACGGACAAATTTAGACTCCCTCAATGTACCTGGGAAGACTGTACAGAAGGGAGGACAGTAGAAAACATTCTGAGAAGAGCCCGCAACAATTATAGGTCCTGCATCACTAAGATGATGCACGAGAGCACCTCCTACATGTACCTGGCAAATAAGAACACAAAATGGTGGAAAATATAAATTTAGAAATCACGTTGTCCTTCACGACAAAGAATTACACAAGGACATCTCCTCAATGCACCTGGTAAATCAGAATAGAATAAAAGGGGACAAAAGGGGGTTGAAGTGATTCACCCAGAGAAGAATCTTCCAGTCGGAAACCAATGTGTGCCTCATTCGGGATGACAGGGAGCGCAACAAGAGTGACTCTTGTCAAAGACAACTGGGTTCTTTCCTACTATAGCAGGTGCAAGAGGAGAGATCAGCAACAGCAAGGTGAAGTGCGTACTTGTTCTCTTGTGCGTCCAAGTAGACCACATCCGAGAATCCATCTTGCTTTGCCGCGATTTGAGTCTTGAGCACCTGGGAAAGGGAAAGTGAAGGGGGAGGGAGGTGGGGAAAGGGGGACGGGGGGGGGGGAAATGGTGAGCCAGCGTGAGGAATTCCCAAGAACTTATTTCCCAGTTTCAAGAGACAGGCAGCCTACCTTGCCTGAAGCCATTTCCGAATCAATATAGTGTAACGGTTACAATGACCTAAGGCCATCCAAAAATTTCCTCTCTGCCGGCAAATGCTTACCGGTGAGTAGTTGCCAATTACCTTGGCGCTGCCAGTGCCCCCAGGGGCAGCACGGTGGTAGTGCTCCTCTCACTTTCAGGGAGATGGGCGTGAGCGTGGCGACCTTGAAGCTGTTGACCTGAGTTTTACCCTCCCACAATCAGCCCCTTACCAGAGGGTATTTCTCCTGATTCTCGAGCCACTTACCGGTGAGTAATTCCCAATGGCCTTGGCGCTGCCAGTGGCCCCAGGGGCAGCACGGTGGTAATGCTCCTCCACTTTCAGGGAGATGGGCGTGAGCGTGGCGCCCTTGAAGCAGTTGACCTGAGTTTTACCCTCCCACAATCAGCCCCTTACCAGAGGGTACTTTCCCCTGATGCTCGAACCACTAACCGGTGAGTAATTCCCAATGGCCTTGGCGCTGCCAGTGCCGCCAGGGGCAGCACGGTGGTAGTGCTCCTCCACTTTCAGGGAGATGGGCGTGAGCGTGGCGCCCTTGAAGTAGTTGCCCACGGGCGAGACGTAGATGAGGAAGGAATACTCGGGCGCTGGCGCCAGCCCCAGCACCGGCCCCGACCCCACCAGCAGCGGCCGGATGTACAGCGCGCCCTTGCCACACGGCGGCACCTGATTGGGTGGGACAGAGGAGGTTTAGGAGGTGGTAATGGGCAGCGGGGCGGGAGGAGGAGAAGAGAGCAGGTAGTAGGGAAGAGGAGAAGGGGAGGAGCGGGGGATGTGGGACGGGGATGATTTGCAGGCGCCTCAAAAGGAGAAGGGAAGGAGCAGGGAAGGAGCAGGGAAGGAGCAGAGGAAGGTGGGATGGGATGAGGAGATAAAGAGTAGTGAGAAAGGCACGAACGTGCCATCTTTTTCCACCTCAATCCCTCATACCACCGTGAATCGTTCACTCATCATTCCCTCATCATCCCATCCACCTCTAATCGCCTCTAATCGCCTCTAATCGCCTCTAATCGCTCACACATCATTCCCTCCAATCGCCCATTGAACATCTCCTCATCTTCCCATCATGACTCACAAATTGTTCCACAAAGGGCAGGGGCGCGCAAGCCAACCCTCTCCTGCATTTCCCATCTCAGCTCTCCTGCATGCGCCCCCGTGCCCTCTGTTATCCCTAATCCCCCACTCTCACTCATGCATGTCCACCACAACAGTGTCTTCCACCGCCTTCACGAACTGCCCCACGGGGGGCGCGGACATGCTGAGTCTGCCGCGCTCTTTCCGCCCTCCTCCCACCCTACCTTCGTCCCCCTCCCATCCCTTCCTGCGTTCGTTTTTAGGCGCCTCAAAAATGAGGCGCCTCAAAACTAGACTTCCTGCGCTCCATCACCCCAACCCTTCGCTCACCCATCGCAGGTTGGCCAGAACGGTGTCTTCAACGGCCTTCACGAACTGCTCCACGGGGGGCGCGGGCATGCTGAGTCGGACCGCACTCTCCTGCATGCGCCTGGCGTTCTCCCCCATTTTTCCCACCCCATTGCCTCGCCTCTCACCCACCTTCTCTCACTCTCACTCTCACTCTCACTCTCACCCACATTCCCACACTCTCACCCCCCACCCTCGCTTACCCATCGCAGGTTGGCCAGAACAGTGTCTTCAACGGCCTTCACAAACTGCTCCACGGGGGGCGCGGGCATGCTGAGGCGGTCCGCGCTCTCCTGCATGCGCTTGGCGTTCGCCCGCGGGCGGAAGAGCAGCACGCGCCCGTCCGCTGTGCGGTACGCCTTCATGCCCTCGAACACGCCCTGCAGGGGGAAGGGGGGAAGGTGGGGGCGGGAGGGAAAGGGGGCGAAGTAGGCGCGGGAGGGGGGGAGGGGGGAAGAGATGTTGGGGTGGATGGGGTGAATGTTGGCGCCGTAGTTGCGCACGCCAGCGGCGGGGCTCATCCCGGAATCGCCGTGTTTCGCGTTGTGTCCGTCTTGTTTCTCTTGTTTCTTTTGTTTCTTTTGTTTCTTCTGTTTTTGTTTTTGCTTTCAGCCGAGACCGCCGTGACATTTAAGCTGGCATACAGGCCACCTCTTGACGCAAAACTGCGCCAGTCTCTAGCTGGTCACCCAGCCCCAGCTGATCGCACAACCCACCTGGCCGCAGTTGAGCACGCCAGCAGCGGGGCTCATCTCGAGATTGCCGTGACGGTTGAACCTACCCAGAAGGATTTCTCTCTACTGTTTCTGAGTGTTCTCATAAGCCTCCTATTAGTCCACCTGGCCGTATTTGAGCACGCAAGCAGCCGGGCTCATCTCATCTCGAGGTTGCCGTGACCGTTGAACCTACCCCGAAGGACTTTCTTCACTGCTTCTGAGTGTTCTCACAAGCCTCCTCCTGACCCACCTGGCCGTAGTTGAGCACGCCAGCGGCAGGGCTCATCTCGAGGTTGCCGTATGGCCGCAGCTCGCCCGCCTCCCACTCCTCTCCGCGCGCGCACTTGGCGACGAACATGTAGTCCGTCTCCACCAGCCCGAAGCCCAGGTCGTCGAAGTTGATCGGCGCGTCCTCGTTGATTGCTAGCGCCGACGGGGACTGGAGGCTGCAGGAGGGGGCCCGGGAACGGGGCGATGAGGAGAGGGGAGGGGAGGGGAGGGAGGGGAGGTGGGACGATTGATAAAACAGGGATCCAGGGATCAGGAGCTCGCCCGCCTCCCACTCCTCTCCGCGCGCGCACTTGGCGACGAACATGTAGTCCATCTCCACCAGCCCGAACCCCAGGTCGTCGAAGTTAATAGGCGCGTCCTCCTAAATCGCTAGCGACGACGGGGACTGGCGGCTGCAGGGGGGGACCAGAAACCCGAGCGAAGGTAGGAGAAATGGGGAGAAACGGGGGAGGGGGGGAGGAGCAGGGGGAGGAGGCCAGGGTGCAATGACGGGTCTAGCAGCGGAAGCAAGAGGAAGGAGGAGCCTAGAAGCTGCTGAAAACAAAGTGCCCAGGAAAACCAGGGTCCAAACACCTAGCTGTCGACTCACAAGTGACCTCTACGAACCAGGTACTGGTTAATGGAGCAGATCATGAGATAAGAAGCCGTATTACACACATGCACACATCCCCGCACCTGGTGGCTTGGGACTGCGGGACAGTCGCTGTGGCCACGAGGCGAAGAGACCGAGACGAAGAGGCCTGAGGAATAAAACAAAATAAGCAAATTAACGAGCGGAGCGAAGTATCTGTCTGATCGTGTCATGGGTGGAAAGTCCGACGTTCATAACGCTAATACCGGTAGCTGAAATGTCAAGGAAAATGCATGGTGAGATCGTATCGGTAGACTCAACAAAGGAAAAGGACTTGTAGCGAATCAGCAGGTCTCCTCAAGGAAGGCGACTGGTGCATACTTGCATTTTCCCTGATCCGGAAAACGACGCTTTCCGATCATGGCGGAGCGATAGGAGAGAAGCCTTTTGATCCTTCTGCAGGCGTCCGAGCCTAAGACCATGGTGGCCTGAAAGCGCATTGCTGGCGGTAGCCATAGTTGTATCGGACACGATCTCGCTTTCTGAGGAGGCAGCAGCGACGTAGGAACGGGAAAAGCAGGTTCTAGTTGACAATATTACGGCTCTAGAACCAGCACCTGCGAGCAGCGCCTATGGCAACTTCGCCGGGTTTGCGCACAGCAACCAGTGAATGCGGGACGAGCAGCTGACAGCTCGGAGTTCCCGAGGAAATGGTTTGCCCGAGATACAGTACCACCAATTACCGTTCAGGAAGAGCTCTCTGACAAAGTGTGCTCTCTGAGCGAATGAACTGTGATCACTGATCCGAGAGCCCTTGGGAATATCGCAGGAAAACTTTCTAGCAGATATGCAGCGTTTCTGGAAAACTTTATAGCAAATCAGACAGCACAAAAAGGTAGACCGTGAAAATACTCTACAGTTCCAAAAATGGTCGCGGTTCTGCTGGTTGGAAAACTGGAGCTTGACGTTGTGGTATTTATAGGATGTATGGAGTGAGTAGCTTTTTTGAGACTGACACTTACGTCATCCTGGATGATGCAAGAAAGGGAAACTTCAGTCGCCACAGAGTCGAAGTTTCCTGCTCCGCGTAAACCCTCGGCCAGCCCAAAACCCTCAACGGGCAGGGTCAAAGCACGCATCGAAAATATTATCGACATCCACCTCTCCGACTGGGTTTTGTTGCTGTCTCCACATATACTACCGCAGGGTTTGGTTGCTGTTAGAATCAAACAGGGCGACCATAACTTTATGTCTACATAAAGATGAATTCCCTTCATACATATTCAAACATGGAAAATCTACCCCTCCCAGACTCTACATACCCTCATTGCACGACGCAACTCTTGGGAGAGTATTTCCATATGGCCTCCTGCAAAAACCTCACACCATTCAAACCCACAGTATTGAATATGTAGCTATTCTTGGTGTTCTTGTTAGTCACCCACACATTGGCACCAAGGTCATAAGCGCACTTGTCTCCAACCTCCATCTCCGTCTCGTCATGCCAGCCTAGATTTCCATCAGGCTCAGTAGCTGCTTCCGCCAACTCGTGGCCAATTGTTCCAATCATGCTGTCCACGCCCCAATTTCCGTTTGGCGTTTTGCTGGCAAGCAAGGAGGCAATGGAGGGTAAGAAGAAGTAACAGGACAGGGCAAGCTTGAGAACTGCTTGCAGGGCGAGTGAGACAGCAAGAGAAGAATGAAACAAGGCAGACAAGGAAATAACCAGCAAGGGAATATCTAGAAGGTACTGTACTTACTAGTACTTGCCCCTCCATCCAAGAATGCAAGTAGAGCCCTCCTGACACTGCCGAATGGGGTTTCCAACGTGGATATACTGGTACCGCTTCTTCACTCCATTCACTGTGCCAGTGAACGAGGTCCTGACTCCGCAGTAGCTTCCGCAAAAATCCATTCCTCCAACCGAAACCTCAACATCGGCACTGGTAAGAACCATGTAAATTCCGTTAGAGTCAAGAGGGAAGCGCTTGGTTGTCTTTATCTGCTTTTCAATGGCTGCAAGGGGGGGGGGGGGAGGGGGAACGATGACAAGGCGGCATTGGAAAGGACATGAATGGGTCAGATCAGATTGTTATGGAAGTTCCAGCTACTGGCACGAAACAATCGGTGTGACATGCAGGACTGTTGTCCATGGATGATGCACTAAAAAGCAGAACACATGGATGCCTCTATGGTCGTTGATGAGAATAGCAGCTAGCATGGAAAAATTAGCAGCTGGAAACACATATTCTGAGTTGTCGCCTGAGTCAGATGCAGATCTTTTAGCTAGCTTACATTTAATAATGCTGCTAGTGCTGTATTTGTCGAATGCCGTTGCCGACAGTCTGACCTGCAGAGCGACGCAGAGGGGGTGCAGAGTGGTGCGGAGCAATGAAAGTGGAAAGAAGGCAGGGTGCATGCGAGGCAGACAGCAGCAGATATTTCTCAGAAGCCCCCTACAGACACCTCAGAACCAGTAAGGTCTGGAATGATCAGATCGGACTAACCGTGTTAGTGACGTAGGAGGATCTGGACCCGGACACCTGATAGTACTGCGAGGAAATCTTCTTCCACCATCCACGCACCGTGGCGTATTCCTGGAAGCAGAGGGGCAAAAGGGAATTTTGCGTTGACTCAGCAATGGCTCCGAGGGATTGGCCGTGCGAATGACGGTTTGATTATTCGGGTATCCAATCCAAATTTGTTGCCCGAGATAGGTACGTGTATTTGGACCGTCGACCGTTCGAGACGTCGGCTGAAAACGTCTCGAAAACGTGTTGAAAACGCACTCACCGAAGAATACGAAGAGGAGGAGATGGACTTTATAAACGTCTCGATGATGTTTACTTCCGACTGATACCACGTGCCGTAGTAAATCACGTAGAGATTAATCGGCTGCCACACCACGGGTCCGCCAAAATACTTAATCTGGTAATTGTTCTCCTTCTGGGGCTCAATGCTGGAACCGCCGCGGGTACTACGGCTCCCCGCCGCAGCCTTCGCGGGATCTGCGCCAGTTATTGCGCCGTGAACGACGGAGGAGTTGCCGTCGTGGTGGAGCCGGTTGCCGAAGGTGCGCATCTTCCGCGCGGCCGCTTCGACGCGGATCTTCTCTTGAAGCAGCGCCGCCATATCCGCTCGCGAAACCTTCACGTGGTTCTTGCTGTTCAGTTGGAAATCGCTCGATTTTTTCGCCTGAGCTTCGTACGGACTGGGAGGGAGTTTAGAGCGGCCGATCTTGAAGTCCTTAAAGCCCGCGTGCTGCTGCGCCGCCGACGGGATTACGACTTCGCGGTGGCGATGAACGAGCCCGTGGGCAGAGGAGAAGTAAATTGCAGAGACGAGAAGGGAGAGGAATAACAGCTGATGTGAGTGTGTTAATGCCATGATATGCCTCAGAAGTTGAGTCAGCGAGATCAACAGATTCGCGACGTGAACGTGCCAGCTACTAGCGGCGACCAGTGATGGTAGATGGAGAAGGGTCGGATTGAGAAATGGTGCTGATGAGTAATGGGCCCCTGAGGTTATTTATCGGCAGGTCTGGTGCACTTCTGACTGCATTGCAATGCAAGTGCCCCACGGCAAAACCGTTGTGCGCTCCCGCGGCGCGCTTGCAGAAATTCCTTGGCTGTGCAAAACCATGCATTTGCGACGACAGCACAGCACGGTCTTCGCTGGTCCCTCTGTTACATTGCTACAAGCATCGCCCGGGTCCTTGTGATCAGTTGTCAACGCGGCTTACGAAAGAAGCGAGTGCAACGCTAGCGAGGCGCAATTTCGCTGGGTCGCTCTGTTACACCTCGAGGAGGGGAGGCTGTGCCCAGTCAGAACAGTCAGCTCCTGATGGCATTGCCTTGCTGTCACAAAGGTGGGGTGGGTGAAGTCGACGCCGCAAGACATGGTGTTCGCTGGGTAATTCGGTTTCAGTCTGACAAGGCCCAGCCATACAACTCGACACACCTCGGTGTCGCGAAGCAGTTAGACAAACCAAATGACCTCCGTGGCCACACTGCGGAGCAATCTCGCGAAAATGGCTATTTGTTACGCAGCTTGACACCCGAACACTGGGCAAGACGGACAAGGGAAGAACTAGCCAACGGGTTGACTTTGGGGCGGGGGGGTATTCGTTCGTATTCGTATTCGTACTGAAGTGGTAATTGAACAATACAGGACCCAGTCGAGCTGGACTTTTGTTGACTGACGATGGAGAGCGGGGTTTATGTTGGTTATGGCTAGATATTAATCAACATCCATCAAAGTATGCAACGCTTCTGAAGATACTCTTTCTTTTGCAAGTCGAGCATCCTAGATCGAAGATGCTGTATTACTATCGAGTCTCGAACAGAGAATTCTAGGGGTGGAAGAAGTCAGCAATTGAGGGCGTGGAACGTCTCAATCGTTTGCGCGCAAACCAGCACCGAACCACGGCTGTACATGCATGTGATATCCGATAACCGTCATAAAATCTTCAATGAATGACGCGTATTGGCTGGCTCCCTCGTGGGCTCGATATTACCGTGCGGGCCTACTCGCCACCTGCCCACACAGGTCGACTGCCCTACCCTGCCATCGGACAATCATTCAGGTGAGGATCTTCGTGGTCGAACTCGGAGGTCTGGTCGACCATGAGGAAGGTAACATGATTTGCGAAAGATTTTTCGTGCAAGAAAATGTTGTAAATGCGACGCTCGCAACACGTGTTCTGGTTTACCAGCTGATTCGACCAATCGATGGTTCGGAAAGATGTTCCGCGCTGTTCGCCTGTCTCCAGAGCCACACGCTACCCTTCTGGAGTGCAGAATCCTGTGGGGGAAGGTTCGGATCCCTCAGGTTTAACACGGCTTGGTACGATGTCGAGGGTTTGAGTGTCATACTGTACCGTGCGGTGCGGTGGAGAACCGTTTTTTCTGCCACTCACGTGCATGCACCTCTCACGGCTTGGTACGATGTCTGTCTCCTAGATGCTTCTTGCTCCCAGCTCTCTTTCCCTGAGCTCCCACCTCCTACAGCGTCCACGAGTTTTGCCCCACCTCCGACTGTCTACCTTGGTGGAGTTCCTTTTCCAGGTTGACGTTGCTCGCTGGTTGCTGAGTAGGCGGCCCGTGGGTTTGTTGACCGCTACCAGAAAACGAAATCCTGCTGGTAGTGCAAGTTTTCTCCGCACCGTGCGTGGTGCTTCTTTCCGTGTGTTCTATACGTGAAGCTCACGTAATTCGTCAGCAGCGTTGTCACTTAAGCTCGTTTTCCCCTCAAGCGTCGCAACCCTTTCTTGTACATAGAGGCGCGAATTCGAAGATGCTGAGGGTTGCTAGTGCACGCTCGCAGGCTCGCCTGGCAACCATTCTACAACGTGGTTACCACAAGAACGTCGTTGACCACTACAACAAGCCTCGTAACGTCGGATCGTTCAACAAAAACGACCCTAATGTCGGCACAGGGCTAGTCGGTGCACCGGCTTGTGGTGACGTCATGAAGCTGCAGATTAAGGTTGACGAAAACGGAAAGATTGTCGATTCCTGCTTCAAGACGTTTGGCTGCGGATCGGCGATTGCATCTTCTTCCGTCGGTAAGTTGATGGCTTCTTCGCATGCTGAAATTCGTGTTGCCTGCTGAAATGGTTGTCGCTGCTGAAATGGTTGTCGTTGCTGACAGTGCTGCATCCATACGAGCAACGCTGGCGATACGCGAAAGTCGTTCATTTGTCGCTTGGGGAGAATCTTGTTCTTCCCTCGTGTTCCTCAATACGGTCTCATGTTCCTTCATTCATGCCACGTTCCCTGCCTCTCGTGTTTCCTCCTTCACATGCTTTCTTCCTATCCTGCAGCCACGGAATGGGTGAAGGGGAAGTCAGTTGACGAGGTCATGACAATCAAGAACAGGTACACAGTGTTTCCTCTCTGCTTCATCCATTCATCACCCATCATACCCCCTCTAGTGTCATCCCTTAGTGCCTGTCATGATCTTGTGTAATTAATGCCTGAGAGCTTATTTTGTCAAATCTTGCCTTCGCTTTGCCAGATTCTTTGTCTCATCTCATTCATCTGCTTTGTTCTCCTCCTTTTCCGCTCTTCCTGACTAACCCTGCTGCAGTGACATCGCCAAGCATCTCTCTCTTCCCCCGGTGAAGCTGCACTGTAGCATGCTGGCCGAGGATGCTATCAAGGCAGCAGTCAAGGATCTCCAGGGCAAAAGAGGAGTAGCTAATAGCGAGGATAGTAGCACAGAGGCTGCTGCTGCTGTGCAAGCAGCTTGACTGATGTGATGGATGACTGGCTGTTCTATGTAATTGCTGCTTTTCCTTTTCATACACCTCTGCTTTCTTCAACCAGCGCTAATTAACCAGTACAGTAAAAAAAAAGCCACACAACTGCTTCCACTAGATACACAAAACCAGGGCACAAACAAAGAATCACAAAACACGCATCCATCTCATCCATCTTTTATGGGGTGCGGGAAAGGATCCTTCTCCATCCAGTCCCACGTTCCTGAATGCACATTGCTGACCTGCCACTGTTCCAGCCGAAATGGCAACCAGTAGCACAGCCCACTACAGCTGTCACCTGAAATTCCACCTGGTATCTCTTGCACATCACCTGGCCTTAGAGTCAGACCTGGCTGCTGCAGCCAGCTGCGGGATCATGATCTCGTCAGCGGCAAGATTAAACATCTGCCCGATCGCATTCACATTCCCCAGAACCTCCTCTTGAACATTTGATCTGGAGCTGGGAGGTCAGTTTGCTTGCCTCTGCTCAGCAGGAAGGCCAGCATCAACATCAACCCAACCAGCAGCAGAATCAACCTAGCCAACTTACTGCTGCCTGCCTGCTGCAGCCAGCTGCGGGATCATGATCTCGTCAGCAGCCAGGTCAAACATCCGCCCGATCGCATTCACATTCTCCAGAATCTCCTGAACTGTCCTCGCATCCCCGCCATCGCATCTCAGGTGCGTCATCGGCCCGTGCAGGATCTTGTTCATCATGCCTCGGCTCATCTCCTCTAAGAGCTTCCTCTGTTTCGGCGTAACATCCTGCCCCAGCTTCGCCAGAACCCGGTTCATTTCCGCCTGCCGAATACACTCTATCTTCTCCCTTAGCTTCTTGATCGTCGGTACGCTTTCTAGTGAGTCTCTCCACGCCTCAAACGCCTGAATTTCCTCTTCAATAATTACTTGGGCTTCCAACGCCTTCCGCTTCCTGTCCTCCTTATTAGCCGCCACAACTTCCTTCAAATCATCCACATTGTACACCCGCGCATGCCCCACGTTCCCCACACACGCACCCACGTTTCTCGGGACAGAAATGTCCACGAAATGCCGCACGCCAGCTGTCAACTCCCCCGCCAACGGCAGCCCTTGCACGTTTTCTCGATGGAAAAGGAGCTCCTCTGAGGCGGTACTTGTGAAAACCACATCCGCTTCCCCCGCTGCTTCCACCAATTCGGAAAACGGCCGATAAACCAGCTGTGCTGCTGGAAATTCCTCTCTAAGCGTCTCCACTCTGGCCTCTGTTCGGTTCACCACCACCATCTTATCACACCCCTTGGAAAGAAGATGCTTAACTAAGAGCCGGGACATCTTCCCCGCGCCGACAATCATCACCCGGGCGTCCCTCAGCCCGTTTCTCGGAAGCTTCATGGCAGTCAGTTCAACAGCAGCTGAGCTCACTGAAACGGCTCCGGACGCAATGCTCGTCTCGGTGCGAACCCGCTTCCCGGCCTCAATCGCCTGCTTGAATAGCCCATGGAGGTTCCGCCCGAACCCCACTTCCCCCTGGGAGACTTTGAAGACTTGCCTGACTTGCGCCAGGATCTGCCCCTCGCCTAGGACGAGCGAGTCGAGGCCCGAGGCCACGCGGAGCAGGTGGTGGGTGGCGTCCCGTTGGCGCAGGATGAAGAGGTGGGGTCGTAGATCGTCGACTGGTACTCCGCTGGACTGCACGGGGAGAGGGGGAGAGGGGGAGAGGGGGAGAGGGGGAGAGGGGGAGAGGGGGAGGGGGGGAGAGGGGGAGGGGGGAGCAGGGATGAGGGGAACGAGGTGAGAGGAGGCAGTGGGTGGCGTTCCGCTGGCGCAGGATGAAAAGATGCGGGCGGAGATCGTCCACAGTTTCTCCGCTGGACTGCATGGAGGAACAAGGAGGGGGGCTTTTGAGTCGACTCAAAAGTCACCTAGGTCTGCATGGAGAAACAAGGAGGGGAGGAAGGGAAAGATGGGAGGAAGGGGGGCAAGGGGGGTGAGAGGAGGAGGTGGTGGGTGGTGTCTCGTTGGCGCAGGACGAAGGGATGCAGGCGGAGATCGTCCACAGACACCCCGCTGGACTGGAGAGGGGGTGACAAAGGGGAGGGGGTGAGTGAAGGGAGCAGGGGTGAGGGGGTGAGGACGAGAGGAGGTGGCGGTGGGTGGCGCCTCGCTGGCGCAGGATGAAGATGGGGAGTCCGCTGGACTGTTTGAGGGCGCGGGGAAAGGGGGGGAGGGAGCAGGGGGACGCAGGAGGGAGAAAGGGGAAGGGGGGAGGGAGCAGGGGAAAGGGGAGAGGGAGCAGGGGGAAGGGAAGAGGGAGCAGGGGGGAGGGGGGAGGGAGCGGGGGGAAGGGGGGAGGGAGCGGGGGGGACGGGGGAGGGAGCAGGGCGGAGGGAGCAGGGCGGAGGGGGGAGGGAGCAGGGCGGAGGGGGAAGGGAGAAGGGGGGAGGGAGGGGGGAGCAGGGGGGAGGGGGGAGGAAGCAGGGGGAAGGGGGGAGGGAGCAGGAGGAAGGGGGGAGGGAGCAGGTGGAAGGTGGGAGGGAGCAGAAGGGAGGGTGCAGGGGGAAAGGGGGGAGGGGGAGGGGAAAGTGGGGAGGGGGAAGTGGGGAGGGGGCAGGGAGAAGCAGGAGGGAGCAGGAGGAAGGAGGAAGGAGCAAGGGAAAGGGGAGGGAGCAGGGAGAAGGAGGAGGGAAGGGGGAAGAGAGGAGGCGGTGGGTAGCGTGGGCGCAGGACGAAGAGGTGCGGGCGGATATGGATTGTCAATGGGAACTCCACTGGGCTGGAGAGGGGAGAGGAGGACCTCATTCTTTCAATGATAGAAATCAATTTACCACAATTCGAAAGATCGAGAAAGTTCCATCCCCATGCGCCTTTCCCCTTGCCCAGGGCATCCTTCCTTGACTGCCCAAATTCCGCAGTTCCGCAGTTAAAATTGCCTTTCCTTATTTCGTACCTTGGACATCCACTGGGTCACTTCGCGAATTCCCATGTGCCACGACCGCGCGACCACGTAGATCTCCATGCGGTTGCACGTGCTCAGCACAGCCGCCTCCTCAATGTGCGGGCACGCGCACAGCGCGTGGATGGCACGTGGCCACTCGTGCTCCGGTATCGCCAGCTTCTCCCGGAGCTCCACCGGCGCCGTGTGCACGCTCAGGCCTATAACGAGGATGCTCGGCTTCTCGCTCGTGTACCCTAGCAATGGAAAGAGAGGGAAAGCAATTGTTAGAAAAAGGGAGAAAAACTGAGGGTAATGCGAGGAGAACGCATCGGAGCATTTCTGTTTTGAAAAATTGTGAGTTTATAATACGCGTTTGAGGAGGCGAACTCTCCAGCTCTGGGAGTCACTCGTCGGAACACTTAGTGATAGTTATATAAATTAAAAAACTTCTGTGTAATCTTTACTACTGCATAAGAGTTAGTAGAATTACTCACGGTTTCCGTTAGAGATTCGGATTTGGTCGAGAGCGATCGCGCTGGAGGCAGAAGAGGGGGATGGTCGAAGCTGTTTGGGTTTGCCGACGGAAAATGCAGCGGACGTGACGGGAAGAGACCTCCTCAACGCGGACCCAGACTCCGAGTCTGACGAGGGAGAATCGGCCCACTGATCATATGAGCTTCGCGATCGTCGCGATGCTGAACGAAGAAAGCGATTTGCGGCCGAAGACAGCAGCGATCGCTCTCCCAGATGCTCTTTCGTCGCCAATTCGGTCGTCTCAAGGAGTCCTGTGGCTGGTGTGGCTAACGAAGTCGCGAGCTTGAAAGACGCTGCCATGGGTTCAGTCGGTATTCGCGAACGCGAGCAAATCAAGGTCCGCGTTCTAACGCAGGAAGCGGTGATTCTGTTTCGCGGCACCTAGCTGAGAAAGTAAGTGGGATTGTGCATGCGCGACGACCAAGAAGTGGGGATCGGAACAGAAGAGAACAACGTACGCGTCAAGATAGCAAAGCTCCTTTTCAACCTTTATCTGGTCTTGCACACAAGATACAAACGTCGCAGCACTTAGTGGCCAGGCCATGGCTCTTCCTGGGGAATGGTTGGAGGCGGACAGGTGAAAGAGGGTGAGTCAACCCTACAGTACACCCAGCGCGGGGGAAGGAGGGGGGAGGGGGTGGGGGGGGGGGGAGAAATGGGGGGAGAGCGGAAGCTTTTGTTGCGGGGAACGGCTCCGGGGCTCTGGCTAACAGGGTAAGTACTCTTAATGTGACGAACTTAACAGTAGTTTTCGACCTGATTCCGTTTTTTTTTGGCATAGTAAAAGGTTTTTTTTTCCCGTCTGCCTAATGGATTGCTTTTCGTGTGATTCCTTGACAATTCGGGTTACTTTACTTAGATTCCGTACGGAGTGCAATTGCAGTAGGGGATATGTTCGTAGTGGTGTATCACCCCCTCCCACCCTCCCCTCTACTTTTCCCAACCTTATCCACTAAGCAAAGCGCCAGGTTAGTTGCCGGGAGATTTTCTACTCTTCCATCTGCCTTAGGCGTAGTATGCGCAAGAAACAGTCCCCTAGGTTTCGATGGCTTTTCCTTAGTTGTGGCCAAGGCCATTTGCCTTCAAGGATGTTACTGTAGTATCAAACCAAGTGTAGCTCTTCGACGAATCCGTATGCTAACGGGTAAACTTTCGGCGATTCCGTTCGCTAGCGGGTATTTTCGTGGCCGATTCCGTGACCTAACGGAATACCCCAGGCTTGGCGAGAGCCCTGGCCGCGAGTGAAGCACCGCTTGCCTGTCAGCTCGCCTCGATTTCTTCGCGCGTCCTCTGTGACGGGAAAGCGCAAACGCTTTCCAACAAGTTCCAGGTGGGGCTGCGAGCTGGATTCCGGCGGTGCGTGGTTGGCACATGAGCTAAGGTCATGGCGAATGGGCGAAACACACGAGAGCAACATGGGATATGCTTGGCCCAGGCACCGAAAAGCAGTTGGTCAATGCGTGATTTTCCTGATGGGACCATGTGGTCCGCCTCCTTTCCCGCGTGCCCGTGCTCCCTAACTTGGTCCACCGACACCCAGAATCTCAAGCACCGAGTTGGGTGATTGGCTGGTCAAATGCTGAAAAGAGATGACGACGGATCGTTGGTTGGAAGGAAAATGCGTTTTTGTTACTCCTGGTGTCCACAAAATGCCGTGCTCGAGTCAGTCCCAATTGGCCTCTCCCTGATGGTCATTCCCCTCCAAATACATTCAGCGCGACTCGCAAACAGTGTGTTCCAGTGTCGAGCTTCAGGTGTATGAGTGGGAATGGAACAACCGACTCGGTAATGGAAATACTGTAAAACCTCTGGAGAGGAGATCGCGAGATTCTAAGGAAATAAGTGACCTCAAAACGGTATACCCTTTTAACTCCCTATGTAAGGCGTGCCCCCCGTTACCCAAAATGGTCGTACACTAGCGCGTACACCCAAACTCCTCGACTCGTCACGTTTGGCCTCATTTGTCGGCCCAACCCTCTCCCGAGTCGCGCCAGGCACTGTCGCCACATTGCCGAACCTACCCACGTTCCGAGGTTATCTCCCAAGCACGCCAACCCCTATATAACATTGTGCCTTCATTCCAATAGCGACCTTGTATTCTCACGTTATAGTTCATTGACACTTCCTATATCATACCAGCTAGTATCAGAGCCACTTTCAAAGAACCTTCCGTTTCCCCGTTTACTTAATTAAAGGTGGTCAGAGGGGATTAGCACGGCTGCACAGCAGTTGTCTTGGATCGTAAATATTTGTACGTCAACAACTACAGCGTGTGCGCTAGCTTCTGCCCCGTCCTGACCGCCATGGCCCCGGTAGACTCGACAGTTAAGGGACAGTCCACCTCGACTGCTGCGAACCCTGCCTGGGGAAACTGTGGACCGGCAAACATTAATGGAGCAGTTGAAGAATTTGACAAGCGTCGTCAACGACCTCCGCGACGAGAACCAACGACTTCGCCAGGCGCAGGAGAAGCGTCTGGAGGAGCCGGGCGACGATGCACGAAGCGAGGCGGGTGAGCAGCAACCTTAGCCTGTGGAGCTGGCACGACTAGCGGCAACAGCCTCGCGCTTGACTAGTGGCGCCGTAAGATATCAGCAACCCGCTCCTTTCGACCCAAGGCGTGATGGTGCGGCAGTGGATATTCGCCATAAATATATATTTTCACGCGACGGGCATCCGAGACGATCAGAAGCGGATCAGCCACGCGTTAATATTGTTGCAAGGGGCTGCCCTACAGTGGTAGAAGGTTATCGTCAACTCAGCGGCAAATCACATTGAAGGACAGCATGAGTGGTTCGAAGAATTCGGCGACGAAGAAGAGACAGACTTGTTGTTCGGTGCGACCCACATTCGCACGTGGGCAATGTGGTGCGCGGAGTTTCGCAAGCGGTTTGAGCATGCTCCTGACTTAGACAAGGCACGCGAGACTCTACGCATGTGGGATCTGTGTCCGAATACACCGCGTCATTCGTGACGTTGGTGGACAGATGTGGAGGCGCCAGTCATAGTCTCATACAACTGGACAGGGCTAAGAAATTGGGTATACCCTTACTCAAGTGTCTACCCGAAATCGACGCCCGACTGGTGGACGGAACACCGCTGGCAATACAAAAACGGGTGGAGAACGTCGGTTTTACTTGTGGGGAGCATATCAAATTTCGGATGGGACTAATCTCAACGGGTGCGACGTGCTGCTCGGACGCGATTGTTTGCGACGGTACAACCCGAAGACTGAATAGACGACGCGCGGCTACAGCATCAAGCTCGAGAAGATTTCCCGCGAACTACCCAAGTGGACGGAGCCTCGCATGCGAAGTACGCAAGTCCGCGCGATCACTTTCAAACATGGGATGAAAGCTGGAGCTGCAGCGTATGCCGTTGTTCTTCGCGAGGTGACATCGACAGTCAAGACCGAAGACATCGAGAGGCTGTGCAAGGCCGTTGCTTTGGACTTATCAGAAATACCCAGAGATTTTCCAGGTCGACCTGCCAGCTGGACTCCCGCCGAGCCGACTCGAGGACCACTGCATCAAGCTGGAACCCGGCGCCCAACCGACGGTACAGCGACAATTTTGGCTCAGCCAACCAAAAATTGAGGAACTACAGCAGAAGTTGGATTACATTCTCACGAAGGGATTTATCCGGCTCAGCACGTCCCCATACGCTACCGCGATACTGTTCACGCCGAAGAAGGATGGAGGCTTCAAAATGTGTATCGACTACCGCGCGCTCAACCGGATCACCATCGAGTCGCGTTACCCGATCCCAAGAGCCGACGAACGTCTCGACCAACTTCGAGGCGCCAAGTTTTTTTTTCTCGAAAATCGACTTACGAGGAGGTTACCATCAGATTCACGTCGTAGCCAAAGATTGTTACATGACGACGTTTTGCATCCGCTACGGCAGTTACGAGTACCTGGTGATGCCTTTTGGCCTCATGAACGCGCCCTCAACCTTCCAAATGACCATGAACAGAATTTTCAAGGAACTCTTGGACAAATGCGTCATCATCTTCCTCGGCGATATCCTAATATACAGACGTAGCCGGGAGCAGCACTTACAGGATCTTGATGCAGTCTTCACGCTGCTGCATAAGAATCGCCTCATCACTAAGGGGTGTAAGTGCGCTTTTCTTAAGCATGAGTTGGACTTTCTGGGCCACATCGTCTCTACGGACAGAGTGAAAATCGACCCCAAGAAAATCAAGACCCTACAAGAATGGAAGCCGCCAAGCAACATCAAGGAGCTGCAGAGTTTTTTGGGCTTCGTCAACTACGTCCGCCGGTTTATCCCCAATATGGCTGGGTTATCTGCCTCGCTAACTGAACGCCTAAAGGATCACAATTGTTTTTGGTGGGGAGAGAAGCAGCAAGCTTCATTTGACCAACTGAAGACCGCCTTCACGTTGCCACCCATCCTTCGCATCTCCGATCCTGTCCGTCCATACGAAGTCATCACCGACGCCAGCGACATCGCCATCGGTGCAGTTCTCATACAGGATTTCGGCGGCGCATTACAGCCGGTCCCCTACGAATCACGGAAGCTGCAGGGCGCAGAGAAAAATTATACAGTACATGACAGGGAAAGGTTGGCGATCGTCCACGCATTCAAGACCTGGTGGTGCTACCTAACAGGTGCTGACGTCACCGTGCGGACCGACCACAAATTCCTCCAGAACCTGCGAGCCCAACCGAATCTCCCACAAATCCATCCAGTACCCTCGACAGATCCGAAGGCCCGATTTTCTCGAGTCAAACTTCCACTACACCATCACCTACAAACGGGGCGCCAACATCTTTGCCGATGCCCTTACCCGACCCACTGCCCATACAGCCGTCATACTAGTCGCCCACTCCTTACCGGACTATTTACCCATGGCTACAAGACTGACCCCTTCTTCCGCTCCGCCATTCACCAATAGCATACCACTGCTACCGGACACTATTTTAATAAGCGCGACACTGCCCGCATCTGGGTTCCCGGCTACGATTTACTTCGTACCCTTCTCATCCAGGAATCCCACGACAACCCTATCTCGGGGCATTTCGGAGTCGACGGAACCATGAAGACGTTGCAGCGTAATTACACTGAGGGAAAAAACTGTCCGGATGCAGGGGATGTATTGCGTTTTTTAGCCATAATTTCAGAGAATGATTAAGCCTTAATGTGAGAACATTCTTGTGTCATGGGCACATGTAGTCTCAACTCTGTCCCTTGGTGTTAGCTCGTTCACCTCATACAAACATGCTCAGTTCACATTATACATACAAGGTCATCATCCGGACAGTTTTTTCCCTTGTCACCAAAAGATCTACTAATCCAGATTCTAGTAGCTAGTCCATCTTCCCCCAGCCTTGATCACAGCACGCACACGCTTCGGCATGCTGTCTATGAGCCTCTTGCAAAAATCCGCGGGAATCTGCTCCCACTCCTCTTGGATCCGCTCCCAAAGTTCCACCATTCCTGATGGTGGCTGCTCGTACTTGGACAGCTCCTTTTTGAGGTGAGCCCAGAGATTCTCGATCGGGTTAAGATCGGGGGAGGAGGAGGGCCAGACGAGCACGGAATAGTCCTGCTCCCCAAGGTATTCCTGCACTAGGCGACACTTATGCTTGGGGTCGTTATCATGCTGGAAAATGACTTTACATGGCGTGAGGCTATAGAACTCGATAGTGGATGTGAGTTCATCCTGTAAAATGCTGCGATACAATGGCCCATCCATCCTCCCATCTATCTTGCACATAAAACCCGCGCCGTCATAGGTCAGGCATCCCCACACCATCACAGAACCCCCTCCATGCTTCACCGTTTGTCGGATTTGATGGCTCTGCAGGTTGTTGCCGTCGCGGATCCAGGCGTATGCGCGGCCGTCCGAGCAAAACCGATTTATCTTGCATTCGTCGGACCAAATAACGCGCTTCCAGTCCTCAAGCGTCCAGTCTACGTGCGCCCTGGCAAACTCCAGCCTGTCCCTAATGTTCTGCTTGGACAGTCGCGGTTTCTTCGGTTGCGATACTGCGACTAGACCAGCTTCACGAAGAGAATTCCTAACTGTCTTGGGGCATACGTTAACATCGTGTGCTGTTCCTAGCATTTTCGCCGCGTCAACGCTCGTTTTCGCCGCGCCACTAGTAATAGCTCGAATAACGGTGCGCTGGAGTCGGGGTGATATAACACGTGGCCTTCCACCTGGCGGCATTGTGGGTCGCACCTCTTCGCGGCTAGTCTCACCGATGACTTTGAGACCGTAGTCATGGACGGTGCTTTTACCTACACCTAAATCTTTCGCTATTTTCCGCACGCTAACCCCCTTGCGCAGAAGCTCGATAATACGTGCTCGTCGCTTCTCATCGACCGGCTTCATGGCGTCTGGACCGTGTGCGGACTACGGGGCTACGGAGCGGCGGCGAGAAGTTCGCTAGATCGAGACCTAATTTAAGACCGGTGGCGAATGTAGATGTCGAACGTCGATCGGAAAAAACTGTCCGGAAGCAGTCCATCTTGCAAAGCCTTATCATACGTTAGACCTCTTCGTTATTACAAACCTCAACTCGGTGGGTTCATGAATATACGCACTGTTATACACACAAGGAAATTTGTGGAAACTTATTGTTACCATAACAGGCAAAAATTGACCGGCAATAGCCTAAACCCATTTATCCGGACAGTTTTTTCCCTCAGTGTATTACTGGCCGAACATGGCCGACGACGTCCGCAAGTACGTGTCCTCCTGCACCGTTTGCCAGATCATGAAATCATCCCATCAGCGAGCAGCTAGACTCCTACAGCCGCTGGATCCGCCCGAGAGACCCCCGCAGGACGTCACGATGGACTACATGACAGGACTGCCGGCCGGTCCCAGCACAAACGACGCCATCCTTGTGGTCGTTGGCCGACTCATGAAAATGGAACACTTCATCGCCTGCCAACAGAAAATTACAGCCGAGCAAACTGCCCAGCTGTTCATCGCCAACGTCATCAAACTGCACGGACTGCCCACAGCCATTATTTCAGGCCGAGACCCGAAATTCACATCGAATTTCTGGCGCGGCACCAAACTACAGTTTTCTTCCGCCTACCACCCACAGACTGATGGGCAGACTGAACGAGTCAACCAAGCAATAGAGCAACTCATTCGGACTACCTGCACGGACCCACAGACATGCGGGAAATCCCTTCCTCTGCTCGAATTCGCGTATCATAACGCGGCTTCTGCAACAACCCATCAATCCCCATTTTTCCTCAACTACGGTCAGATCCAGTGGTACCCTCTACACCCAACATCAAGACACCCGTGCCCCGGTCCCAACAATTTGCCAAAGACATCCTCGCAGCCCGAGAAAATGCAGCTTAGGCAATCCGGAAAGCCAACCTGGTCGCAAGCCGATCTTCATCGACGTGACGTCACTTACAAAGTGGGAGATCTCGTACTACCCGACACTCGCAATTCGCGTCTGCCGATCCCGAGCAAACTCCGACCCCGATTCTGTGGTCCCTTTCAAGTGACCAATATGGTGACACCTGTCACTGCTCACCTCCGACTCCCGGCGGATTGGCGTCACCACCCGGCTTTCCACGTCAGCCTCCTCCGACCCTACATTCCCAGTTTGTCGGATTTGGCACGTCAACGTATCGTACCGCAACTGATGCCCCTGCAGGAACCGACGACCGAGCCCTTGAAGATTCTCGGCCATCGAGTCACAACACAGCAGTACCGACGAATGGTGGATTTTCTCGTCCGCTAGCGCGATCGGACGTCTGAGGATGACACCTGGGTGCCCCTCGCCGATCTAGAATTTCATCCGATTATAACGGCGTATTATCAGCGTCGGAACGTTTCCAATGTCCGCGGCCTCGTATATGAGAGGGGGGGGGGGTACTGTTAGGAATTTCCATTTGGAGGCCTCTTTGATTCCCGTTTGAAGCGCGATCTCCCAAGAAAATAATGAATAGGCAAGTGACTAGCGAAGTTGTTAAAATAGGGCGCGGATGAGCTAGGGCGAGAACCTTGGAACGTGATGTGGATTGGATGAGTGGAGAGGGTCTCGGAACGCGACTCGAGGAGGTTTGTGTCAACATATATTTTGTATATGTTATAGGCTAGATAGGTACATGCTTATAGAGAGTACAATACCTTAGGTTATATTCCCTTGTACCTCATTACTCTAATCATTCAGCTATTCTAAGATTCTATCATAGTAGGTTAGGTCCGCCCACCCGCTTTCGCCCTCGCCCTAGCCTAGTGCCCCGCCGTTCCCTTAACGCGCCCCGCTGGCCTTAGCGCACCCCGCTGTCCTCAGCGCCCCGCCAGCCCCGTTAGCGCGCCCCGCTAGTCCCTCGCCCCGCTGGTCCCTTACGCGCCCCGCCGTCCCTTAGCGCCCCGTTGACCCCTCGAGTGCCCGCTGGTCCCTTAACGCCCCTCGTGCCCTGCCCAGCCGTCGCGCCCCGTTGGTCCCTTCTGCGCCCCACCGGCACCTCGCGCCCCGCTTGTCCCTTATGCGGCCCTCCGGCCCCTCGCGCCCCGCTGGTCCCTTACGCGCCCCGCCGGCCCTTAGAGCCCCGCCGACCTCTCGCGTGCCCGCTGGTCCCTTAGCGCCCCGCCGGCCCCTCGTGCCCCGCTGGTCCCTTCCGTGCCCCACCGGCACCTCACACCCTGCTGGTCCCTCACGCGCCTCACTGGCCCCTCGCGCCCCGCCTGGCCCTCGCGCCCAGCTGGTCCCTGCTGCGCCCAGCCGGCCCTTAGCGCCACGCCAGCCCCTCGTGCGCCCGATGGTCCCTTAGCGCCTCGCCGGCCCCTCGAGCCCCGCTGGTCCCTAACACGCCCCGTCGGCCCCTTGCGCCCTGCCCAGCCCTGGCGCCCAACTGGTCCCTTCCCCGCCCCGCTTGGCTCAAGCGCCCCGCCGGCCCCTTTTAAGCCCAGCCGGCCCATCGTGCCTCCCGGCCTTCTGCGCGCTCTGCCGGCCCTATGAGCCCCGCTCGGACTTCCGCTCGTTCTTCCTGTCAGGGAGACCTGCCGTTGCGCCGTTGTACCGGTGTGTAGCTGTGTCGCTATGTCGACGTGCCACTGTGTAGCCGTGTCGCTGTGCCGCTGTGCCGCCGTGGAGCAATGACTCTGAGGTCGCACGATGGCGGACTCTGTACTTCTCCTGGACGTAGAGGGGAACGCGATCGACTTCGCCGCCTGGCTTGTCGATCTCCGCCGTCACCTCACAGGTCAGCGCCAGGATGGGCACTCCTAGGATGTGCATTTTGATGGCTTGCTTCCTCGCCCCCCTGCGCATGATCCCCTCCTTTCTGACCCCACCACTGCTCAGCGTCAGGCCTTTTCTGCTGCTGCGCTTGCTCGCGCTGTCTGGGATTCCCGCGATGCCGTAGCGCAGCTCGCCATTGGTCATGTTCTTCCCCTGTCTGTGCGTCCGTGCTTTATTGATGTAGTGAACGCCAAGGACTTCTTAGAGTTGCACGCTACTCCACGCTCGCCTCCGCCTCTGCTGGACGCCTGATCCTCCATATGCTGTTCCTTGGTCTTGCCGATTTCCCCACTGTCGCTAACCTAGCCACTCACCTCCGTACCCTAGAGGCTAGCTACCGCGCTGCCTGCACTGAGGCCCAGCTCACTGCCTTCCCCCCGCCGTTCTGCGCTACCCTGTAGCTCATTGCCATGCACCTTTCGGGCCGCTTAGCCACTGCCCGCGACCACTTCCTTAGTCAGAACTTAGGTGACCTCACCCTCGCCGCCTTTGTCTCCGCCCTCTTTGACATAGAGACTCGCCAGTGCCCTATCGCTCAGTCGAGTGGTGCTGCGGCTGTCCCTATCTTCCAGCGCTGTGCGCCCTCCCAGTGCACTTACGATGACCTGTCTGCCGATGTCGCCGAGACAGCCCCTACTGCTTAGACCGCCGCTGCGGTCTCCACACTGTCGCGCCCGCGTCAGGGACGCCGCCCCAAGGGGGGGCGTGCTGGAGGTAGGGGTGGTGGGGGTGGTAGAGGTGGCGGCGGCGAGAGTGGTTTCGACGAGGGGACTGGGGCTCGTGCCCCGAAGCAGCAGCGGCAGCCGCAACAACAGCAATCGCAGACGCAGCAGCAGCAGCAACAGTCGTGGGGCCGCCTCCCGCCGGGGTGGCCCGGTACCTCTGGTGGTGGTGGCTGCGGCGGCAGTACCCGATACCTGATCTCCTTCACTCCCCTCCCATCGGTTGTCCCGGTCGAGGACTCGGCTGACTCTAGTGGCCCCGCGCACAGTCCTCGCCACCTGTGGCTCCCCCTGTGTCTCCTCCTCCGTCGTCGCAGCAGCCATCGCCGTCGCCGCAGCAGCAGCAACTGCCTCCGTCATCGCAGCCGGAGCGGCAGGCGTCACCGTCGTCGTTGCAGTAGCAGTCGTCCGTGGACTCTGGGGGTGCGGGCATTGAGGAGGGTGCTAGTCCTTGGGTTCCTGTCGTGGCTTGTCCCGGCGGTCCTGGGGGTGGCACCGATGCTGGAGAGGTTTCTCCTTCTGGGTGTGCTAGTTCTAGAGGTGCTAGTCCTGGGGTTCCTGTCGTGGCTTGTCTCGGCGGTCCGGGGGGTGGCACCGGTGCTGGAGAGGGTTCTCGTTCTGAGGGTGCTGGAGTGGAGCGTTCCAAAGTTACCCGTTGTGCTGCCGGCGGTCCAGGTGGTGGCGTCAAGCAGCAGCAGCAGCAGCAGCAGCTGCCGCCGGTGTCCGCCCTTTGCCTGCTCGGCCTTCCCTCTCTTGACCACCCGCCCGCGCCTCTCCCGTCATAGCCTCCTCTGCCTGTCTATGGCCCTGTATTTCCTCCGCTGGTCTCAACCCCGGCGCGTTTCCCCCCTCGTTCTCCTCCTATGTCCCCTCCTGTGTCTCCTGACCCGACGCGTCCGTCCCACTTATGGTCTCGCCGTCGCTCTCGTTCTCGTCTTGTCTCTCCTATCCAACGCTCTCACCCCATGTTGCTCTGTTTCCATGCGTCTTGTCCCCTATCTCTCCCCACGCCACCTTCGTTGTCGCTCGTTGTCGCTTCGCCTCCTCTATCTGACTACCTTCGTTCCGCTCGTCCTCTCGTTCTTCGGGTCCTTGCCTCCCTCGTTACCGACCCGTCTCTTCTTGTCTCGAGTCTTAACGCTTTTGTCGCTGCTGTCGTTGACTTCGCCTCTACCCGCCGCCTTGACTACGCCACAGCTCTGGTCCCTTGCCCTGCCTGCCCTTCGTCCGTCGGGGGTGCACATGCCCTCAGCAGTGACGTCCTAGAGGACAGGCAGTACGAGCTTGCTTTCCTGTCTGAGGCCGCTCCCCATCACTGTTCCATGCTGCTAGTCCCTGAGGGTGACCCAGACGCCCTTGACATCCCGACCCCTCGCACTTACGCTGAGGCGGCCTCGGGACCTTAGGCCTCTCAATGGATAGGTTCCATGGAGCAGGAGATGGCATCTTGGAGATCCACTGGCACCTTCGTCGACGTTGTTCCCCTATTTGGGGTGAACGTAGTCGATGGCCGGTGGCTCTTTTAGGTAAAGCGCCCCACTGGAGAGACGCCTATGTTCAGGGCGCGCTACGTGGCTAGAGGCTTCAGTCAGTGCGCGTGACTGGACTAGTAGTGCCGCCCTGGGTTACACTTGTTTAGTTAGTCCTCTTGCTGACTGTTCTTCGGACCCTTGCCTCAGAGGTTGGACTAGTAGTACCACACTGAGCTGTGTGTCTCGTGCTAGCTGTTGCCCCTTGTCTAGCCTAGGGGGTGTGTCAACATATATTTTGTATATGTTATAAGCTAGATAGGTGCATGCTCATAGAGAGTACAATACCTTATGTTATATTCCCTTGTACCTCATTACTCTAGTCATTCTGCTATTCTAAGAGTTTGGGCCGAAAATATAGGCTAAACCTGCGAGTTCGAGGACTTCGGGTGTATGCGCTGTAGTTTAGCGCACGAAGGAATTGTAATTCCTTACTGTTTTCTTCTGTCAGTAGCGAAAGCTGGTTACCATCTGTCGGTGAGAGTAGCAACTGGTGCTGCAAAGAGGTACAGTACATTTTAGGATAAGTGAGAAGGTTCCTATGCGTTTGGATGTGGTGAGGTGACAAATTATCAGTATGGCAAATCTCTTTTTAGTTATCTGTTAATGAATATGGACCTTTTGTACTCGCATCAATATGGTTCGACATGCGAGCTGTGTGCATGGGGTAATGCTTAAGGAAGACAAATTTATGGAAATGCGTATTTTCAAATGGTTCTAGGCATAAACCACAGGATACTTGGCACTCCATAAAATGGAAGTAGTATGGTAAGCTGTATTTGAAACATCAAGATAGTAATTAATCATGGGACTAGTAGAACCTTCTTCTACACATTTGGCTGTTCGGTTTACACTTGTGCAGAGCTGAGAGCACGAGGCAGTGTTGCTGCAAAACCATGCTGCGCTGGCACCGACATGCGAGGAAGCCAATGAATGCTTCGAAAATCGCGTGTCCGTATGGTGTTCTCTCGTGGTCACCACACCACACCACCTTGGGCGTTCTGTCGTCATACGGTGGTCCACGGCGAAGGCCAGGCTTTTTCCGCCACCGCCGCCAACTCCAATTCCTTCAAGTGGGGCGGGCGGACAAAATTCGCCTGCCGAACATCGCGGAGGTTCAGCAGGTTCCCCCGGTGTTGACGCGAGAATCTCCCGCGCATTGGAGTAGCGGTTGCCACAGCAGGTCGAGGGGCAGCATCCCATGGCCAAGGGCAGCCCCTCCCAGTTCAATGGGTTGCCCAAAAACAATCCGCGGGTGCTGGGCTACTCTGTGAGATTTCCACTTCCAACTCAGACTCTGATTTTCAGCGCAGGTCTATCCTTCGAGTTGTACCCAAGCCTCCCTGCTGTTATTTTCCAACATGCTTCTAAGAGCAGGAAGAGTAACTTGGGAGAGTAAGACGAGGGTACAAAAACGCCGTTTTGGGTTTCACCTCTCCAGATTCATGTCAGGTGCTCTGTGCTAGGGTTTGCAAGTTGCTGCCAGCCCTCCAAACCAAAACCTCATCCCCAGCCAGACCTCCCTCCCTCCGCCCTGCGCAGCGCAGTCATATATTTCCGCAAATGACGCTGTAGCAGTGCCTCCGCCACCTAGGGAGAATCCATTCCACCACTTTCAAGCTCATGCTCTGCTGTTCTGTATACGCATTCGGCTTCGCAGGTGAGGCCTGGGTGGGTTGCTCTGTAGTGCCACTGCGGCGCGCGTGTTCTCCAGCCGCAGGCTTCCGTTGCACCTCCATCGAAGGTCTCGACGAGCTTACCCCAGAAGCTCGAGAGATTCACACGTTGTCAGCAGACGAATCACGATCCTTTCTTCGGTTACCTTCGTTTGTTGCCTAGTCGGCCATCTCCGCAACGCTCCCAGTCTCAGACTGAACCTTTGGTTTGAAACCCCAGGATCGTGCCCGCGGCGTCGTTGGCTGGGAGCATAGTGTTGGAAGGTGTGTTTCTCCTCGGAGCCAGTCACAGAGCCAGAAAGGCAGGCGACGAAGACCGTATCGCTCGCGTTTGCGTGGAAAATAACTTTTTTTTAAGGCAGCTTGTTTGTTCGCGTTCGCCCTTCACAAACACGCGAGCGAGTCTCTCAGTTCAGCCCTTTCACTCCCCGAGTGAGAGCCTGTGAGACTCAGATAGTCTCAGCCTCGCAAAAGCCACATCTCTCCCTTGTTTGGAGCTTACTAGGCAGAACCCTGCTCGACGAATCCTAGTTCAGAACGGTTCAGAACGGTTCAGTGTGTGAATCCAGACGCTAGTAGCATTTACCTCACGGGTTTCGAGCCGCCAGTGCATGCGGGGAGTCCCGACGGCAGAGGGGCGGATGTCGACCGGAAAGAGAACGCCGAATGCGAGAGCCAACGGACGGTTTGACGGGTGGCCAAACGGACGGCTACCCAGACGGCCAAACGGTCGGCTTAACGGACGGCAGCTAACGATGGTCGCAGTGCTGGCGATGGTTGCGTGCGCGGTGATGCAGCTGCGCATCGCATCTGCTGGCGTCGCCGTGCATTCGTCACAAAGTGAGTAGCGATGGACCGTCTTCCGAGTCGCGAATGGGCAGCTGGTCGGTCAGGAGCGACGAATGTGTTGCGAAAGCGCCGTTTTGTTCGCCAAATCGCGAATTCGCGAATATGCGGCGGTTGCTGTGGCGCTGCTTAGCGGCTGTGCCGTCTTAGCAGTCGCAGACGCCGTCGCCGACGTCGCAACCGTCGCAGAGGCAGATGCAGCCTCGCATCAGAGAGGAAGGCAGAATCCTCCTTCCCTGCCAGATTCTCTTCTCGTCGCCAGGGCCGCTTCCCCTTCACTCACTCCCCTATTCCCCGTTTCCCCTCCCCCTCTTCCCCTCCCCCTCTTCCCCTCCCCCTCTTCCCCGGTCCCTTCCTCTTCCCCCCCCCTCCCCCCCCCTCCCTCCTCCCCCTCCTCCCCCTCCCCTCCTCCCCCCTCCTCCCCCCTCCTCCTCCCCCCTCCTCCTCCCCCCTCCTCCCCCCACCGTCGTTTGCCCTACTTCGCTCACTCACCCAGCGACCGCGATGCAAGCAATAGCCGACACGTGGCCCGACATCACTGCCACGTGGGTCGCCGGGGCGACCTGTGACACGTGGCTGGGCGTGGTGTGTGACGCGGACGGCTACGTTACGCAACTGTGAGTCGGAATGCGAGATGACGGGGTGAAGGGATGAGAGGAGGCGAGGCAGCGGTAAGGGTGAAGGGTAAGAGGCGGCAGAGGTAAGGGTGAAGGGTAAGAGGCGGCAGAGGTAAGGGTGAAGGGTAAGAGGCGGCAGAGGTAAGGGTGAAGGGTAAGAGGCGGCAGAGGTAAGGGTGAATGGTAAGAGGCGGCAGAGGTAAGGGTGAATGGTAAGAGGCAGTGAGGCAGAGGTAAGGGATGCTAGCTGATTGTATCTGCGTGCTTTCTTTACCAACTACCCAAGAAAGTTGGAGGCATTATTGAATCATATTTCCCCCCCCCCCCCCCCCTCCTTTCCTTCCCCCTCTCCAGCGACTTGAGCGGCCATGATCTGGAGGGAGTGATTCCCTCCGCCGACATGACCACGCTTGTCACGCTGCAAGAGCTGTAATAAACGCTCATTTTGGTGGTGGTGTTGTTGTTGTTGTTGTTTTTTTTTTTTTTTTTTTTTTTTTTTTCCACGATGCTAGAACGGCTGTTTTTGTACGCGTATCCTTGCACCCCTTTTCTGGGCATCCTCCCGTCCCATCCGTCCGCCCTTCGCTCCCTACATTCTTACCAGTAACCTATACGACAGCTCAGTCGACAATGACTTACCACGGATGTTTTTGTAACCCTTATCCTTTCCCCCCTTCCCTCCCCCCTTCCCTCCCACTTCCCCATTCTCCTCCCCTCCCATCCCCCTTCTCTTCCCTCTCTGCCTTCCCACCAGCAAGCTACACGACAACTCAATCGAGGGTGACTTACCAGTCGAATTCAGTGCGCTGACGGCGCTCACCATTCTGTGAGTTGATTTATGACGACGACTGTGTCATGAGTTATTATCAGCTGTGCCGTGAGTTACCACTATACTGCGAATTCACCTTGGCTCGGGTATACCGTGAGTGAGTTACCCTCCACCGTTCACCACCGTTCTGTGAGTAAAACTCATCTCCACCACCACGCCATGAGGTTAAGAGACTAATCGGCCCCGTCATAGGTTCCTCCGTGATGAGTCGATTCTTTTAGGCACGTAAAATTGTGCGTTTCTTTTTTTCTACGTTCTCTTCCCCTATACTCAAGCCCGTCAGAGATTTAAAAGTTAACTCTGCATTGTTGCTCTGTGGGCAGGTCGCTGGGTCGCAACGAGATCACTGGGTTCATCCCTCCCGGCTACTCTGCACTCTCTAAGCTCAAATACCTGTGAGTTCTTCTGCACTTCGCCGCCTCGCGCTTCTGGACCGCCCCCGCGCTTGCTGTCGCCCGTCTCCCCAATTGCTGCAGTCTCCGCAGTGACAACCGCATAGCAGTCTACTTTTGAGGCACCTCGAATCCGGACCGCCCCGTCCCCCTCCTCCCCCCGCCCTCCCCTTTCCTGGTACCCACAGCGCAACCACAGTCTCCTGAGCGACACCGCACAGCGCACCAAGTGCCCTCAGAGCCCAGCACTCTCACCAACCGCTCATTCCTGCCCTCCCTCCCGTCTGCATTCGCCGTGCTCTCTCTGGCTCCCCCTCGCGCTCTCTGGCTCCCCCTCGCTCTCTCTGGCTCCCCCTCGCGCTCCCTGGCTCCCCCTCGCGCTCCCTGGTTCCCCCTCGCGCCCTCTGGCTCCCCCTCGCGCTCTCTGGATCCCCCTCGCTCTCTATGGCTCCCCCTCGCTCTCTCTGGCCCCCCCTCGCTCTCTCTGGCTCCCCCTCGCGCTCTGGCTCCCCCTCGCTCTCTCATGGCCCCCCCTCGCGCTCTCTGGCTCCCCCTCGCGCTCTCTGGCTCCCCCTCGCTCTCTCTGGCTCCCCCTCGCGCTCTCTGGCTCCCCCTCGCTCTCTCATGGTCCCCCCTCGCGCTCTCTGGCTCCCCCTCGCGCCCTCTGGCTCCCCCTCGCGTTCTCTGGCTCCCCCTCGCGCTCTCTGGTTTCCCCTTGCTCATGTCCACAGTCTCCTCACCGACAACCGCATCGCGGACTGAGTGCCCATGAAACCCAGCACTCCCTGGCTGCTTTCCTCCTCTTCCCACTCCCACTTCTGGTCCTGGCGTTTTCCCCTCCCCTTCCCCTAATCCTCTGCAGTCTCTTCAGCGACAACCGCATCACGGACCAAGTGCCCTCGGACCTCAGCACTCTCACGGACCTCCAAGCACTGTATGCGACTCACCCTCCCTGCCTTGCTCGCACCGCCTGCCGTACTTTCTGCCAGCCTAACCTCCCCCTCTCTTCGGAGTCCAATTGAAAGTCACCAAGTCCCGTCGGAGCTCAGCACTCTCACGGACCTCCAAGCACTGTTCGCGTCTTGTCCTGTCCTCCCTGTCTTGCTCGCTCCGCGTGCCTGGCTCGCTCTGCACTGCATGCGTCTTGTTGTCCGCCCTGCCTGGCTGGCTCCGCCTGGCTTACATTCTCCGCCGCTCCCACCCTTTCCACTGCCCCTACACCCCCCCCTCTCCCCACCCCCCCCCTTCCCCTTTTTCCCAGCGATCTGAGCAAGAACCGTCTGTCCGGCAGCATTTCAGCGGAATCCACCTCTTTCTCTCGGTTCCCCCTTCACCCGCTCTCCCCCAATCTGCCCCCCCCCCCCCCCCCAACCCCCCCCCCCCCCCCCCCCCCTTTTCCCAGCGACCTGAGCAAGAACCGTCTGTCTGGCAGCATTCCAGCAGGGGTCGTCGCTCTCCCCAACCTCATCTACTTGTGAGCCCTTCGCACGTGACAATAGAGAACTGTTGGGTGTGAGCAGAGAGGCACGTGACAATGGGGAGTTGCTGTTGATGTGAGCGGCATGTGACATTCCCTCCCCCACCTCTTCCCTCCCACCCTTCCGCTTTCTACCTCCAATTTATGTCCTTCCAATCTTCTACCTCTCCCTTTTCTGTCCTTTCCTGCAACCTTTGCAGCGACATTTCACACAACGAGTTCTCCGGAGCTCCACCCACGGGATTCGCTACCACCTCCTTCCAAACAACTTCCCAGGCGACTTACAACATCGAGCGGAACTATTTCACCGGGTCGGCCCAAGCTAGCATCACGGCGGGCAGCGGAGCAATTTCTTTCTGCCCGATCGACCTCCAAGGGGGGTTCGCAAAAGCCTCCCTTCTGCCCTACAGCCCGTCTCTCTATGGGTCGGTGCGAGGAAACTGCATGGCAACTTCCAGCAGCGGACCGTGCACGTCAGACACGCAGCGGAAGACGAAAGATTGTTTGGCGTTTTGTGGCGCAGGCGCGCCGGGGGGGGCGTGCGGGGGGCACGGGCGGTGTTATTTGTCCGGGACCTCGCTCATCCCGACGTGCGAATGCGAGGCAGGCTATAACGCGTATTTTGCAATCAAGGACGGGATCAGATACCCCTCGTGCAACACAGCAGCGGTTAACCCGCCACCGCCGCCCCCCCCACCCGTAACAGAAGGTATACTCTCACCTCTGGAGGTATACTCTCCCCTCAGTTTGTATACTCGTTATAGTTCTCGCACTCTCGCTCACATTGTCACATACTCACTCTCACACACTAACACTCGTGCAACGCAACCCTCACTCCCACATGTCCAAACCCCTGCCGCCAGCAGAGACCATCACCCAATCCCCTTCTCAACTTCCTCTCTCTCTCTCTCCCTCCCTCCGTTCCTCGTCCCCTTTATAAGCAGACCCCGAGAAGCGCAAGCCAGGGCTCAAGGACAGTGACGACCAGGCCGTTGCAACCAAGGTCAGCAGACAGCGAGAGAGCGATTCAAACTGCTTGAGAGACACACAAAGTTTCTTTGCCTAACCGCTGCTGCTCTAGTGCTGCTACTTGAGTCGAGCCGTGGAGAGGCCCAAGGTCGAGGCCTTGCCAGTTACTTACATGCCGCCTTCCCCTTATACCCCCTTCCCACGCCCAATCGCCCTCCCCAGCCGCTCACCAACTTCAACAAGTACTTCCGCCACGTGAGCCTGGGATACACCGGCACGGCCACCAAGCCCTCGTGGACGTACAAGACGGTGGTGGACTGGCGCACCCAGGTGGTCAACAAGCAGACACGCACTGTTGTGGGGCCCACCCTCGACCAGGGCCTGTGCGGTGAGTGTGAGGCAGGCCACCTGGGAGGGCAGGGCACCTGGGAGGGCACCTGGGAGGGCACCTGGGAGGGCACCTGGAAGGGCACCTGGGAGGGCACCTGGGAGGGCACCTGGGAGGGCACCTGGGAAGGTACTTGGGTGAGTTAGTTGTGCGACGTCTCAAATTTTCACCACTGTCGACCAGGGCCTGTGTGGTGAGTGCTAGGCAACGCACTTGGGAGGACACTTGGGAGGGCACTTGGGTGTGTAAGTACTCTAGTTGTGCGCCGTCTCGAAAATAAACCACTGTCGACCAGGGGCTGTGCGGCGAGTGTTAGGCAACGCACTTGGGACGGTACTTGGGTATGTCCAAGTCTGCTGAAGATGACTTTCGAGTTGACTCAAAAGTCACCTGCTGACTGAACCAGGACCAGGGTACTCGGGTGTGTCCCAAGTCTGCTGAACCAGGACCAGGGTACTCGGGTGTGCGGCCGCTGAAGGCGATAAATAGAGAGCCTGGGATACAACGGCAGCACGGTCACCGAGCCCTCTTGGACGTACAAGCCGAGCCCTCTTGGACGTACAAGCCGAGCCCTCTTGGACGTACAAGACGGCCGCGGAGTGTCTGTGGGGGTGTGTCTCTTCTCTTCCATTCATCCCCCTCTCTCCCTTCCCTCTCTCCCTCCTCCCCCTCTCCTCCCCGTCAGCCGCAGCCCAACATATCGGACCAGCACTTACTCAACTGCCAGGGCACCTGGGAGAGCGTGGGGGGGTGTGTCTCTCCCATTCTTCCCCCCCCCTCCCTTCCTTCTCTCTTCCCCCCCCCTCCCCTCCCCGTCAGCCGCCTGCTGGGCGCTGGTGCCCGTGGCAGCCATCGAAGCAGCCTATGTAATAGCATACGGGTCGAAACCCATTCACAACCCATTTCCTCCCCCCCCGCCTCCTCTCTCCCCCCCTCCCTTCCTCCCCGTATTCCTCCTTCAGCTGCCTGCTGGGCGCTGGTGCCCGTGGCAGCAATTGAAGCAGCTTATGCGATAGCCTATGGGTCGAACCAGCCCAACATATCGGGGCAGCACATACTCAACTGCCAGGGCACCTGGGAGTGCGTGGGCGGCATCCCCTCAGACGCCTTCCAGTTTGCAGCCACGGGCGGAGTGCTCTCGGAGTTAATGGTGCCGTACACGGGTGAACGCGACAATTCCAGCTGCGGGGTGAGTTTGAACTGGGGGTGGGCGTGCAGGGCGTGCGGGCAAACGAGCGTGAGGTGCTTTCGTTACTCGGAGTGCTGCCAGGGGGGGAAGTGCTCTCGGAGTACATGGTCCTCTGGGTCCGCCAAGCGCTAGAGGATCACAAAGCCTCTTTTCTGTCTCCCCTCTCTCGTGGAGTCACTGGCTGCCCCGAGCGCTAGAGGATCACCATGCCTCTTTTCTGTCCCTCCTCTCTCGTGCGCTGTGCTTGTTTCTACTCTCTTTCTAAGGTTTCCATTCTCCACTCTTGTTCTGTGCTTGCTTGTTCTCTCTCTCTCTCTCTCTTTCTCTCTCTCTTTCTCTCGCTTCTCCCAGCCTGCTGCAAGGCGGCGCCTTTCAGCGTCCTTCCCACCGGACCTCTGGTTCGACCAAGCGCTCGACCTGGATCACAGCACCTCGATACAAGGTTCCCCGCTACAACAACAGCAATCACTACCAGCCATTGTCTCGTCCTCAAGGCGCATGTCGTCCCACGTCGCCCCTGCTCCTCCTCCTCCCCCATCTCTGTCCTCTTCTCCAGTTCCTCCTCCGCCCCCTCCCCCTCCCTACGCTGCTCTGGAGAATGACCCCCAACTGGCCTTGCAAGTTGCTCTCTCTGAATCGCCACCACTCACCCCTCGCCCTCCTCCTCCCCCCTCTCCTTCACCCACCCCCTTCTCCACCCTCCTCTCCTCTCTCTTTCAAATCCCTCGCGCCCGCATCCTCCAATCATCCTCCTCCTCCTCTTCCTCTTCCTCCTCGTCTGCCTCCTCTGCCTCCCTCGTTTCCTCCACTTCCTCCTCCTTCCGTTCTCTATTATCGTCGTCCTCCTCCTCCTCTCAAGCGTCCACCATGGGCCTATTCAACCCCAAGAAGCCTAAGAAGAAGGCCCCTCCTGCGCCTGCTGCCAAGCCACGCTCGGGGCCGTACAAGATCGCCATGTTTGAGCAGGTGTCGGTGTCTGGTTGGCTGGGCATGGTGTTGGCGCTGCAGGCGCAGCCAGTCATTGCGAACGTGGCGGCGGATCGGCCGTCCTTCATGGATTACGCTGGGGTGAGTGGGAAGAGGAGGAGGGGGGGCGGCGGTTGGGGGGTGGGGGGGCGGCGGGAGAGAGGGGGGGACTTTTGACCTGGGACCTGGGAATGGGCTGACTGAATGCAGGCGCAGCTAACCACTGCGAATGATGAGGCGCATGTGGGGTGCAGCATGGCATGGCATGGCATGGCATGGCATGGCATGGCTGGGTGGGACCACACTCTACTGAATGTGCTACGTGGCCCTCCTCTCTTCCCCCCCATGCATCCTCTCTCCCTCCTCTCTTCCCCCCCATGCATCCTCTCTCCCTCCTCTCGTCCCCCCCATGCATCCTCTCTCCCTCCTCTCTTCCCCCCGCATCCTCCAGGGCTACATCTACGCGGACCCCGACTGCTTCATCAACGGGGTGGTGAACCACATCGTGCTGCTGGTGGGGTACAGCATGGTGGGAGCCACGCCATACTTCATCCTGCAAAACTCCTGGGGAACCACCTGGGGGGAGGCCGGCTTCATGCAGATGGCCATCGAATCAGGTACCCGCTTGTTCTTCTACATGGTGCTATACCTCCCTGTTTTCGCATCGACTCAAAAAGAAGATGCCTCGCTGTTTGATTCTGTGGATCTGAAAGGTGGCTCTTAAGTCGACTCAGAAGCTACCTACTCTTTGGTCACCTGGGTCGTGGGGGGGGGGTGAGGGGGGGGTCCTGGGGGGTGGGTGCTGTACATGGCCATCAAATCAGGCGATGGCATCTGTGGCATCAACACAACGCTGCCTCTCTACCCTGTCGTCTGTGGCCCATTACGAACACACAAACACCTAAGACTTCTCTTGTTTCTCCCCCTCACAGGCAATGGCATCTGTGGCATCAACACGTCGCCCGCACTCTACCCTGTCGTCCGTGGGCCCAACCCGTGTGTGCCGAACCCGTGTGGGGGGGGCACGTGCAGTGCTGGCAGGGGGCCGGGGGGCTACACGTGCAAGTGCAAGACGTACTTCGTTCTTGGGAAGAACGTGGACCAATCGCCTGTGTGCATTCCACGTACGTATGGGGGCATTTATGGGGGCATTTATGGGGGCATTTATGGGGGCATTTATGGGGGCATTTATGGGGGCATTTATGGGGGCATGTGGTTGGGTGGGGAACGCGGGGCACGGATGGGGCGCTTGCATAGGGTGCAAGTGCGACACCTACTCTGTACTTGGGAAGAACGTGGACCACTGCCAGGTCGGCACGTGTCAGGTCGGCACGTGTCAGGTCGGCACGTGTCAGGTTGGCACATGTCAGGTCGGCATGTGTCAGGTGGGCACATCCCTGGACGACAGCAAGGGCGGCTACAACTGCATCTGCTTGGCTAGGTTCCTACTTTGACCTGCCTGCCAGCACGTGCAAGAGACCTGCCAGGTGCCTTCTTTGACCTGCCTGCCAGCACGTGCAAGAGACCTACCAGGTGCCTTCTTTCACTCCGAACCTTTCTCCCTCCATCTCTCCCTTCTCTCCCACTCCACCCGCATCCCCCCTCCCCTCCTGAGCAGTGAAACCATGCTCCCTCAACGCAGTGAACGTGGTGACGTGCGTGCATATTGACTCCATTTTTAAGGCGCCTATAAAATAGACTCCTCACGTGCGTGTATATAAACTCCTCACATGTTTGCCACTCCCCTTACCTCCATTCCTCCCTCCCCTCCTCCCCCCAACAGTGAAGCCATGCTCCCTCAACGCAGTGAACCCCTGTCAGGTGGGCACGTGTGTGGACGACAGCAAGGGCGGCTACAACTGCATCTGTCCTCCGGGGTTCTTCTTTGATGCTGAGCCGGACAACACCCCCTCCTGCATCCTCGGTATGTTCTAAGTGTTCTAAGTCTTCACCCTTCACCCTGGTATGGCCTGTCATATCTCCCTAGTGGTAAGCCCTACCGTGTGCTTTCAGCTCTTTGAAACCGAGCCTGGGAACACCCCCTCCTGCATCCTCGGTATGTGCTATGTACCTCTCACCTAGTCTAGGTGTGCACGGTGCACCCCTCAACATACAACCTTGATATGAATTCTGAGTCGACTCAAAAGTCATCCTCGGTATTATCAGAAACTGAGAACTTGATTGATTAAAATGAGCAAGAGCATACATACTTAAGTACCAAGCATCGGAGAGGATGGGAAGGGATAAGGGAGAATCGGAGGGAATCCCAAGGGAATCCTCCCAAATCGTGGGGATTTGGGATGGATTGGGTTGGGATAGGTTGGGGATGAAAACATAGCTACACCCAACCTAACAAATGTGCGTATCCCTAAAACCAACAAAGTGCCAACACACAAAGTTGTGCCAACCGAATTGCAGCCTATCTGTAACAGGTATAAGCTATGTACCCTTCACCTCGTAGTCTAGGTGTGCACGGTGCACACCTCAACATACAACCTCGATATGCCCCTTCACCTTGCGTTCTAGGTATGTGCCCTTCACCTTGCAACCTTGCTATGACCCTAGAGAGCTACTGCCATGGTCCTATCACCTGGTATCATCGACCTCACATTTTCCTCAACCCCCCCTCCATTCCCCCCTGTTCCTCCCTGTTCCTCCCTGTTCCTCCCTGCCCATCCCTGTTACTGTCACGTGCAGGCCCCACACCAGACGAGATAAAAGTATTTCCGGGGCTCACATGCGACCTTGTGATGTCAACCTATGGGATCAGCCTGGCCAATTTCACCCGGCTCAACCGCGTGAGTACATCTCAGTGCGGCAACAAGCTTTTGATTGCTACACGACTAGGCAAAGGCAGATGGTATGGTAGCCTGTTCTTTTGATTGTTGTTGTGGTTGTGGCTGTTGCAGTGATTGTTATTGTGTTTGTGGCTGTTGTTGCGATTGTTATTGTGGTTGTGGCTGTTGTTGTGATTCTTTTTGTGGTTGTGGCTGTTGTTGCGATTGTTATTGTGGTTGTGGCTGTTGTTGTGATTGTTATTGTGGTTGTGGCTGTTGTTGTGATTGTTATTGTGGTTGTGGTTGTGGTTGTGGCTGTTGTTGTTGTTCCCCAATGCACACAACGATACCAGGTGCAATGCTCTACCGTTACCTTCCCGATGCTCTACATTCTCCTCCCGATTTGGGTCCAGCCAGATTCCGAGTTCCATCCTTCGACGTCCCTCTATGTGTCTCTCCCTGCATGTCGTTGTCTCAGTGTTTTGCTTCTCTCCCTTCCCATTTTCGTCCACCCTCCCCCACCCTCTTCAGGCTGCAACCAGGCTGCAGCCAGACAACGAGATCCACGTCGGGGACACCAACACAAGTCGCCTCCCCTCGTTTCTTCCCCCAACCAACCCCCCCTCCCCCATTCTCTCCTCCCCCTTCCCCCACCCTCCCCCCCCCCCCAAGCAGAAGCTGGACTGCACCAGGCTTCAGCCAGACGACGAGATCAAAATCGGGGACACCAATCCCTGCGCCACCCCCTATCCCATCACATATGTAAGCCTCCTCTAAATCTCGCCCCGCCAGAGGTGACATCTGAGTAGATACTCGAGTCGTAGGTGATTTTTGAGTCGTAGGTGATTTTTGAGTCGTAGGTGATTTTTGAGTCGTAGGTGATTTTTGAGTCGTAGGTGATTTTTGAGTCGTATGTGATTTTTTAGTCGTACGTGATTTAGGTGATTTTCGAGTCATAGGTGATTTTTGAGTCGACGTAAGAATCACGAATGTAGCCCTTCCAGAAATGACATTTGAGTCCACCCAACAGCCACCTCTTTTGAGTAGTCTCAACAATCCCTGCGCCACCCCCTTTCCTGTCACATATGCGAGCTTCTCTCCGCAGATTCCAACGGCTCTCAGCAATCTTTATTGCTTGCACTATATGTCATTACGTAATACCCTTATAAACTGGGACTGTACAAACGCCAGGGGCGACATTCAGGCTCATTTAAGCTCTCCCGTTATTCTCCCGTTGTCCCGTCGCCTTCTGGCAGAGCGAGACATGTGCGGAGGTACCTGTGGAGTTCAACATCACACTGGAGCAGCTCAAGGAGCGGAACCTCTTGCTATATCCTTCTCTGTGCCACCTCTTGATATACGGTCCTCTGTGCCCTCCTTCTCTGTCTGCCCCATGGTCCTCTGGCAGAGTGAGACGTGTGCGGAGGTGGCAGCAGAGTTCAAAATCACACTAGAACAGCTCAAGGAGCTGAACCACGAGCTCCACTGCGACAAGCCGCTGCAGATCGGCCAGCAGGTAGGGGCGCATTGGGGCAGCAGGTTGGTCTTTGAGTCGACTCGGGAGCAGAACGGGTGTGTGTGCATGGGTGCATGTGTGTCAGCGCCAGCAGAGTTATCACAGTCGAGCAGCTCAAGAAGCTGAACCACGAGCTCCATTGCGACAAGCAGCTGCAGATCGGCCAGCAGGTAAAGGGCGAGGACTGAGTGTGGCAGCAAGTTAGGGGGGGGGTGGGGCAGCAGGTAGGGGATGGGCCTGGCAGCAGGTAGGGGTGAAGTATGGCAGCAGGAAGAGGTGGGAATGGCCCCACCTTTCCCATCCCCGAGCCCCTCTAACACGGGTGCATCGAGAGGGGATACTAAGGACTTGCCTTCGATACTCCTTGGAATCTCATTGTTCATCCTATTTCCTATTCCCTGTGCCCCTCTAGCAGGGGTGCATCGAGAGGAGGTATGACGGACTTGCCTGAATTGCCTTAGAGAATTCTTGGAATCGCTTTGTTTATCCTATTTCCTCATCCCCGTGCCCCCCTAACAGGTGTGCATTGAGCGGGGTACACCCGACTTGCCAATGTGCCAGGAGTATGTGACCTTAGTGGAGGGTGACACGTGCGACACTGTAATGATGTCCGCGCGGCCGCCTCTGACCAGCCAGGAGTTCTACGCTTTGAATCCAGGCATCAACTGCAACGCGGGCGAGCAGACGCTGCTGGGCCAGCAGGTATGTGAACAGTAATCATTGTTGTGTAGGTGTGTGCGCATGTAGGTTAGCATTAAGTGTACTCGATTAATTTCTGCTTTTGTTAATCCAGTCGTTTATGGAGTGCTGAATGGTTGCAACTTGCACCCCTCGTTCGCCCTCTCCCGCCGCACCCCATGGCTTATGTCATTCATGCTTCTACGCATGCTTCACCCTCCAGATTTGTACGCGTGGTGGCCAATCAAGTGTCTTGCTGGGTGCTTCGAGATGCGTTACAAGGAAGACATATACAGTAGTTACTGGCGATACATGTGCTCGCGTCCTTGCACTCTATTTTAAGTCCTCAGCACGCCTGCTAGCACAATATAACAGTGGCTACGTTTGCACAAACAGCCGGTTATACAAAGGAACAGTGCTGTGCAAGGCACCCTAGGACTTGAATTGGTGTTTTGCGAGCATATGTAGCAACCTAGCTATCTGGCTATCTAATTACAATGTGGTGCCAATGGTGTAATGCTTTTGTAATATGTGCGCTTTCTTTTGTTCAAATGTTATGTAATTTTTTTAAAAGCGTGTAGCGCTTTCTAAAAATGTGTATTGTGATAGTGTAGCAAGAGCCAACTCGGCAAAGGCAGCGGCGAAGCGCACCTAACCCTCTTTTGCATTCAAAAGAGGAACGTGAGGCCTCTCGGCCTCACTCACGTTCTTCATTTCTAGTTCAACTCATTTGAGTTTCCCTCATTTGAGTTCCTAGTTTTTGCCTTTTTGTTCTCGTCCAAACTGGCGAAAATTCAGTCACTTCCACGCTTCAGGGCACCATCTACATTACTAACCGACATTTTGCAGCATAACCTATCGGCAATGACTGTTAAAATTATATAAGTTATAATTTAATATAGGCTTGGTAGGTTGTTACTGAACCTTTCTGTACAGGGTACAAAGCCCTCCTTGTACTCCTCTCTCTTCCTAATCGCCTCTCTTCTTTCTCGTCAACTTTTCTCCTCACGCTCCTAGATCTACTTTCCTCACGGCATTCCATGGCGGCCTTCCTAGTATCCTAGCTAAGCTAGTGTCCTAACTTTAGGGACCTAGCCTCCTAAGTTTCTGAGATGGTATCAGAGCCGGAGGTCCTCCTGCTGGACCGCCTACTCACGCTTCTCGCGCTGCCATGGCGCTCGTGTCGTGCCGCTGGCCGCGTCGTGCCGCGGCCGTCTCGACGCGCTGCTGTGGCGTCGCGCTGTCGTGCCGTCGCTTCCGCCGCGCATTTCTCTTGTCACTGCCTTCCCGCCGTGGCGGCCATGCTAGCCTGTCATGGCGGCTTCGTCGTGCGGCCGTCGCCTCCTCGACGCCCTGCCGTGGTGGCGTTGACGCTTTGCCTTGGCAGCGTCACCTTGCTGCCGTTGCAGCGTCGGCGTGCCGCCACAGCGTCGACGCCGCGCTCTGGCGGCGTCGTCATGCTGCCGCGGCAGCGTCAATGGGCGGCAGCGGGCAGCACGCCGTCGTAACCGCCACCTGCCCGCCCTCCTGCCAGTAAGCGCCGCGCCACTTATGGCGCGTCGCTGAAGACTCGCCTCGCCCCGCCCCCTCCCCTCCCCCCCCCACCTGCACCTGCTTCCCCTGCATCCCCCCCTTTCTCGCTGCAGCCGATGACTGCCTCATGAGGGCCCTCTCCACCGCCGAGGAGACTGGACATGCCGCCGAGAGGGAGGGGGCCGCTGCACCGGCCTCTGACGTTCAAGCCGCCGCCGCCGCCGCTGTTGCCGCAGGCCTGGTGCCGCCGCACGCCGCTGCCGCCGCCGCTGTCGTCACTGTCGCCGCTGCCGCCATTGCCATCTCACGGGCCGTGGGAGCTGCCCTCTTCTGGAGTCGTTGCGGCTCCTGCTGGGAATGGGGGTGCTGGGCTAGGGGGTGTGGGTGTGGGTGTGGGTGTGGGGGTGTGCGTGGGCTTGACACTACCAAGCCTAGGGGGTGTGTTAAAATTATATAAGTTATAATTTAATATAGGCTTGGTAGGTTGTTACTGAACCTTTCTGTAGAGCGTACAAAACCCTCCTTGTACTCCTCTCTCTTCCTAATCGCCTCTCTTCTTTCTCGTCAACTTTTCTCCTCACGCTCCTAGATCTACTTTCCTCACGGCATTCCATGGCGGCCTTCCTAGTATCCTAGCTAAGCTAGTGTCCTAACTTTAGGGACCTAGCCTCCTAAGTTTCTGAGAATGACTCCCGCCAATTCTGCACCAACTCGCGAGGCGAACACCTCCGCAAATATCGGTGATCCTTGAACTTCGGACCAGGTAACCGACCGTCGCGAAAAACGCCCTGCTGAGGACAATTTTGGCGAGGGGACCTCGGGTGTCGATGTTCTGCTCGGTGCAACTCACGCCACCCCAGAAGAAACACGTGCGATTGCCAAGCAGCCGCGCGTGCAGTCAACCGAGGTCCACACGCCGAGCCGCGCTGCGCCGCCCGCCGCCCAGGCGGGCCCCACCGTTCGGCACGTGCCTGCCGAGGAGCTCGCCCCACCCACCGCCGCCCCCGCTTTGACTGCGCAGCAGCTCCAGGCGCTTTTCGCGCTGTTACAACAGCACGCGCCTGTTACGCTCGCCACTTCTTCCGACAATATCAACGCTGCTACGACTACAGTGGCGGAAACAATTGTCCACATGTTTAGCATGTGGACAAATTTTGACGAGCTGTACGCTATAAACATTAAGCCTTAATTCATGGTGGCCATACACGTAGAGAGGAGCAATTAGAGCACTCACTCAAATCTCCTAAAATCAGAGTAGTATATTTCATGGTCCTTTAAGACGACAACATTTAATAACAGCACATCCGGACAATTTGTACCGGGGACAGGCAGCAAACTAGTTGCTAGCAAAACTAGTACCTAGTCAACCGACACTTGGCCTTGATCACCACCTACACCCTCCTAGGCATGTTATCTACGAGGTGAGTGCAAACCTTTACAGCGATCTTCTCGCACTCTTCCTGGACCCACGCTTTTGCATAAGGGGGTAAGCACTAGGAAAATCGCGAAGTATTTGAACGTATGCAAGATTACTGTGCACGATTTCATGTTGAATGTTATCTCTAAGACTAGCCATGCTGAGGTGTTGCCAAAGATGCCATTAGTCGATTGGTCTCGTCTTATCATGGATCGTCTTCATCGCACCGTTGTAGGTAAAAATTACGAGCAGAGTGGCGAAAAAATGCGTATCTGCCACGAAACTTAGGGTAACATAGCACGGTTGACAGTGCATCCTTGCACCATTAGAATCATGCTAGGATCCGTATGTCTCTGAGCGGTGCAGCAGTCGAAGTAGTCGTAACTGGTGGGGAAAAATCTCCGGGTTGAGATCTGATGAGGAAAAGGGTCACTCCAGCGTAACATACTCGTGTTCGCTAAGCCATTCTAAGCCATTTGTCCTGCCTAGGCTTGGAATGGCTTGCAGAGCATGAGTTTATAACACTGGAGTGACCCTCTTCCTCACCAGATCTCAACCCGGATATTTTTCCCCACGAGTCACGACTACTTCGACTGCTGCACCGCTCAGAGACATACGGATCCTAGCATGATTCTAATGGTGCAAGGATGCACTGTCAACCGTGCTATGTTACCCTAAGTTTCGTGGCAGATACGCAATTTTTCGCCACTCTGCTCGTAATTTTTACCTACAACGTTGCGATGAAGACGATCCATGATAAGACGAGACCAATCGACTAATGGCATCTTTGGCGACACCTCAGCATGGCTAGTCTTAGAGATAACATTCAACATGAAATCGTGCACAGTACTCTTGCATACGTTCAAATACTTCGCGATTTTCCTAGTGCTTACCCCCTTATGCAAAAGCGTGGGTCCAGGAAGAGTGCGAGAAGATCCCTGTAAAGGTTTGCACTAAACTCATAGATAACATGCCTAGGAGGGTGTAGGTGGTGATCAAGGCCAAGTGTCGGTTGACTAGGTACTAGTTTTGCTAGTAACTAGTTTGCTGCCTGTCCCCGGTACAAATTGTCCGGATGTGCTGTTATTAAATGTTGTCATCTTGAAGGACCATGAAATATACTACTCTGGTTTTAGGAGATTTGAGTGAGTGCTCTAACTGCTCCTCTCTACGTGTATGGCCACCATGAATTAAGGCTTAATGTTTATAGCGTACAGCTCGTCAAAATGTAAAAATATGCTAAACATGTGGACAATTGTTTCCGCCACTGTAACTTGGCCAAGAAGAAAGAAATGGCAATGCCTCCTCGCGCCCCAAAGGCCCCGCGCATCGACGACCAGCACCCAGAGACGCTCCCGACGCCCGCCATCGACATCGAAGACAGCGACGACTCTGACAATGAAGATGGTGAGGCTCCGATAAACATTGCTCACCACCGCATTATTGATTCCGCACCACCTCTTCCCCCCCTCGCCCCTACGCCCACCCCAACCACCTTCATGCGCAAGGGCGTACGTGATCAGGCAGAGGTATTCACTGCCATCCAAGCACACCTCAAGCACATCGATTACAAGCTGCAGCACGACGACATCATCGGCGCGCTCAACAACGTCAAGCACATCGAGATGCTTATCGACAAGCGTTTCGAGGTGCTTCAAGTGGCGGACGAAGCCGGCTTCGAAGCGGCCGACTGCTTTCAGCTCTACCAGTCCAAGAGTGTCTTGACCTCATGCTCCTTCAAGCTCGCGGTCGCTGATGTCGCGGCACTCAAGCGTGTGCGCACCGGCTACACCCGCGGCGGTCCCCCCCGCGGTCGTGACGGGGAAATGGACATCAAGGGCTCCCCCCCCCTCACATGCTCGCAGCCGCGTTTCAAGGGCGTATGCTTCCGCTGTGGCCAGCTGGGCCACATGGCAAACGCATGCCCCATGGGCGGGCGTGGCGCGCAAGGCCCCTCACCGGTCGTATGAGCGTTTTTTTTTTTTCTTCTTCTTCAAGGGCGGCGCCCTTTGCCCATATGCAAGTGGCATATGGGGCCGCACCGGAGGGTGCGTGGCCGGTGGCCAGCCTTCGAGCAAGGCAAGGAAACCCAGCGGGCTAGGACTGCCCTAGGGGATGCGTAGGCCGTGTGCCTAGGACCATGGTAGAGCAATGTAATTGTGTTTGTGTGTCGCCACGGCAAGTTGATTTCTAGTTGAAAAAAAAAAGAAAAAAAAAAAGGAGGGAGAGTACGAAAGAGCGTAGTAGCGGGGACCCACAAACATGCCACGTATGCCACCCAAGAAAACGGGCAGCCACGATCAAGCCCACCAAGGACATGGCACAAAATCATGATGGCAAGAAATAAGGAGCCGCGAAAGAATGGAGAAGGAGAGAGAGAGGGAGCGAGAGAGAGAGAGAGAGAGAGAGAGAGAGAGAGAGAGAGAGAGAGAGAGAGAGAGAGAGAGAGGGAGAGAGAGAGAGAGAGAGAGAGAGAGAGAGAGAGAGAGAGAGAGAGAGAGAGAGAGAGAGAGAAACACAAAGAGGGAGAGAGAGAGAAAGAAAGAGAGAGAGAGAGAGAGAGAGAGAGAGAGAGAGAGAGAGAGAGAGAGAGAGATAGAGAGAGAGAGAGAGGGGGGGGGAGAGAGAGAGAGAGAGAGAGAGAGAGAGAGAGAGAGAGAGAGAGAGAGAGAGAGGGAGAGAGAGAGAGAAAGAGAGAGAGAGAGAGAGAGAGAGAGAGAGAGAGAGAGAGAGAGAGAGAGAGAGAAAGAGAGGGAAGGGGTAAGATGGAGAGGGAAAAAGAGCACGAGGAGGAAATCACGCACATCGGGAAGGACACACGGAAGCGCCTCCCAAGATAAGGCGCTGGCCTAGCCATGTGGTAGGCAATACACGATCATGGGCTGCCCGATTTGGCACCAACACCTTATTGCAATGCCCTCTCCCCTCTCGACCCGAAACGCTGCAGGACCCGAACACGGATGGCCACTCGACCGACACGACCCCTACGAATACGCCGTCACGGACAAGGACGTCACGATCATGCGAAGCCGACTGCGCCAGGCCCTGCATTGGTGGTGCTCGTGGTGAGATAGCAGTTTCATAATATCTATAATCGCCAAAGGCGATTGGCTGCCCTTGAAGCACACAACCCCGCCCTCCTTCGACGACAAGAACCATGCCGGCGTTCACACACACCTTGACTTCACTCGCGAAGCAATTCAAGAACTTGTTGCCACTGGCTCTGCCGTGCCAGTCCCCACGCGAGATACGCTGACCTGCGTTAGTCCTTTGAACGTCGTCGAGCAGCGTAACAAATGTCGCCTCATTCTCGACCTTCGCAAAGTCAACGCCCACCTCGAAATTCCAAAGTTCAAGTATGAAGGCTTGAAGCGGGTAGTCGAGCTCATCCATCCCGGCGACTGGATGTTTCTCCATCGACCTGAAGTCCGGCTATCACCACGTCGAGATGCACCCCTCCTCCTGGAAGTACTTGGGCTTCCAATTTGAGGGCGCATACTACTCCTTCCGCTCGCTGCCGTTTGGTCTCGCCACCGCCCCGTTCGTTTTCACCCAGCTAATCAAACAGTTGGCAAAGCGGTGGAGGGCCAGTGGCCTACGCGTCGTCCCGTACGTCGACGACCTTCTATTCCTTTGCAACTCTCATACACACGCGCGCTCAGCATGCGCCACAGTTACTCAAGACCTAAAGGCGGCTGGTTTTGTTATCAACGAGAAAAAATCGCATCTCCACCCCACGCGCCTAATCCACTTCCTCGGCCTGGAGGTCGACGCACTTCGCGACAAATTCTCCATCGGTCACGAACGACGAGCTCAGCTCCTAGCCACACTCACCGACATCATCGCCCAGGGCCAAGCAGGACGACGAGTCCCCATCCGCTCCCTTGCACGAGTCACTGGCATGTTGGCCTCCATGACCCTAGCATTGGGCGCCACAGCACGAGCCTTCAGTCATGAGCTTCTGCGACTCATCGCCGACGCCACGTCTTGGCATGACAAATTCAAACTACCTCCGCCCGCATTAACAGAGCTACGCTTCTGGCTTTCGCACTTCGACCAATTCAACGGCGCCCCATTCCATCTCAGTCACCAACACGACGCTGTCATCCACGCTGATGCAAGTGCTCACAGCTGGGGTGCCACCCTCACTCAACTGCCTGGCACGCACATCGAGGCCAGTGATTGCATGCCAAAAGAGCTCATGCCCACCTCCAGCACTCGAAGGGAACTCGAAGGCGTCCGTTGGGCACTCCGGACATTCACCACCCACCTCGTCAAGCGTCACGTGCTGGTTCGCATCGACAACCAAGGGGTGGTGTTCATCCTTCGTAAGGGCGACTCACGCCACCCCCCACTCACACTGCTATGTCAAGCGATCATCAGACAGTGCTTGGAAAACCGGACACGACTCGCTGTCGAATGGATTCCGAGAGAATTGAATGCCCACGCGGATGAGCTCTCAAAACTCCAAGACTACGACGACTACTCTCTTCAAACCCCTTGGTTCCGGCTCTTGGATCGTCGACTTGGACCTCACTCCATCGATCTTTTTGCCAACGTACGCAATGCCCAGCTGCAGCGTTTCTGTTCCAAGATCCCCCATGCTGAGGCAACAGCGATTGATGCTTTCTCACTCAATTGGCAGCACGAGTACGGCTTCGCATTTCCCCCGCCCCACCTCATTCCAGCCACCTTGCGACACGCCCAACGCACACGCCCTGAGCTATTATTGGTCATCCCCGAATGGCCCGGCGCATCATGGTGGCCACTCCTCCAGCTAGCACCCCGTGTGTGGGCGCCGGAGATAGTAGCCCATATCCCACTCACCCATGGCACCCAATGTCTCCACCCTGGCACACACTCGCTCGCTTTCGCCGGCCAAGGCCTGCCTCATAGCCAGATGATTGCCTTGCATGTAACCTATAAGATATAACTTCTCCATGTATGGTGTATATTTTCAGGCATGCTGTCGAAGTTAAAGACACAATTGCTGCGCATAACCACCCACGTCCAAGCGCCCTCCACTATCAAGACCTATGTCCCGTACTGGCAGAAATTTCGCTCATTCTGCGCGCAATTTAAGCTCGGCTATCTGCCAGCTACGGACACGACCCTGTCGCTCTATCTTGTTCACACTCTCAATCACCAAGCAACCGCCTCTGCCATATCCTTCACATGCTCTGCCATCTCTTTCGCACACCGGATGACTGTCAAACCCTTCCCCACGAACGGCCCTTTCACGGTACAAGTATGCGAATTTGCCAAGCGCCATGGGGCACGCCCCACAAGGAATAAGGAACCCTTGTCGCTCCACCAAGTCCATACTATGGCCCGTCCCTTCCTCGAATCAACTAACCCAGCCACATACCAGAAGGGTCTCATTCCGCTGCTCATGTTCGCAGCATTCCTACGCTACTCGAACCTCGTCAGCATCCAGTGGAATGACATACAGTTTGAGGACAAGGCAATGTGGGTCCTGATCCCACACTCCAAGACGGATCAGGAAGGCAAAGGCACTTGGGTCCCCATTGCCGCCACAACCACACCCTATTGCCCCGTCAGCTGCACGCGGTGCTTCATTCACCTTACAGGCCACACCGCCACCCCACACGGGCCTCTGATTCGCATCTTCGTGACCAGAGGCAAGGCCACCTTATGGGACACCGCACCTTCATACACAACCATTCGGAATTGGTGTCTGGAAGCCTTTGCCGCAGCAAGCCTCGACCCCACCAATCTCGGCACCCACTCTTTCCGCAAGGGCGCCGCGACCGCAGCGGCCAGCCTGGGGATACCTGACAGGCTTTTCAAGCGTCTAGGCCGATAGCACAGCGACAGTGCAAAGGAGCTATACGTCACTATCGCGCAAGACCACCTTCTTGCAGCCTCCACGTAGCTTCAAGATCCATCCGCAGCCCCATCGCCCAACAACCACCAGCTGTCCATGGAGCGGCAACGCCGACCCGTCCTCCACATGCCTCAGAAGACCCATATGAAATGAAGCACGCTGCCTTTCAAGAGGACCTAAGCAAGCTTTCACAATATGTAATTTTTTGAAAGCGTGTAGCGCTGTCTAAAAATGTGCATTGTGATAGTGTAGCAAGAGCCAACGCAGCAAAGGCAGCGGCGAAGCGCACCTAACCCTCTTTTGCATTCAAAAGAGGAACGTGAGGCCTCTCTGCCTCACCCACATTCTTCATTTCTAGTTCAACTCATTTGAGTTTTCCCGCCCACCCACCCTAGCTATGTGTTGAGTAGTTTATTGGACGAGAACCAATGTATGTCACCCATATGAAATGAAGCACGCTGCCTTTCAAGAGGACCTAAGCAAGCTTTCACAATGCAAACATTGTTGAGATGTATGAAATCCAATTCATCAAGCTGACATGGGCACCAGTACCGGTAGCTTTTCATGAGGGGCATACATTTGCACACGCCACCTTTTGACACCCAGGGCGCGGAACATTTTCTAGAACAAGTCGGACTCTTAACTTCTGAAACTGGAGTGCTGTGTTCATACACCTTTTCTCCTATTTAGTCCCACGGTTTTTGCACGCGGCTCGAGCCTGTAAGCATGAAATGGTAAAACACGGGCAAACGGGACCTTGAAGGGGAAAACCCACAGTAAGCACTAACACTTGGTTACAAAATCTCACTCATGCACCAGATTAGTTATTGCCTGTGCGACGTCCCAGCTCTGAAACTCACAATTGTCGAAATACGACTTGGTTGTTCGCTATCGTTCAGACTGCAGCCAATCAGGTTCAGTGTCAACGTGAGTCATGCTGAGAACCAGGTAGGTGGGATTGCAATTTGGACTGTTCCGGGTGAGACAATAGAGGAGGAAAGGTGTACAGTAGTCAGATACATGCATGATACACCCTAGTGAGGAGTTCAAGATAAGTGTTCGTGTAGAGTGTTCACAAATACAGTTGATGTCCACCCTTATCGCTGCTCAGCCTGTCGCCCAATCAGAACCACGTCCCTAAACCCCCGATATACGGGAAATGTGATATCCGTTAGTGTCCCGTCATATACGCACAGTGCCCCGTCATCATGACGTCGGTGACCATCATGTGGCATAGGACAACCCGACCACAGTGGCATTTTTTGCGCCGCATGACTGTGCACCGTTGTCGCAGTTACGGCGCTTATCTTTCATAAACGCCTCATTTGAAATCTGAGAGTGAAACTCACGACACGATGTACGCCCCCCTGGGGTTGAAAATGCGCCGCATGATTATTGTGGATTGACGTGGCTGATGACAGTACATTGACCCCAAGTTCGAAGGGCCCCTATCTCTCGTCACGGTAATCCGGGTCACTTAGCTAACCAGGCACTACAAATATTACGCACGTTTATCGCGCTCCCCGTGGGCATTGTCGCTGAACCCGTTCCGTATTCGTAGATTGAACACGCACCAAAGGTACATGTCCAATTCCAACACCAACCCCTCAAAATACGCGGCTCGCCCTGCAAACTGTGACGCGAGAGGTATGAAAGTGAGAATTACAGAGAATGAGAATCACTCGCCACCTCCATCTATCACTACTCACCGCCACACCACTATGCCGCGCGTTCACAGTCGAGCGCAGGTACCGCTAGAGGTGAAGCGCACAATATGCGCGCATCACACCATGTATCCCCACCTCCGCCAAGAGGACTTGGCGAGATGGTGCTACATCCTTTTTGGTATCCTCCCTGACCGCTCCACGGTGGGGAAGATTCTGAAGGACGTCGCCCGTTGGGACGCCAACACCGCGATTGGCGCCTCACGCCGCATCCGTCAGGGTCGTCACTCGGACCTTGAGGCGCTTCTGTGTCGCTAGATCGAGAGCGTCGCGCCCGCCAGAGTCTCTC